GAACCTGCTTTGGCAGAGGGGTTGAACTTGATGATCTCTGCTGGTCCCTTCCAACCCCTACGATTCTGTGATTCTGTGTGCCCATACACAGCTGCTGAACTCATGGATCTCTTACAGCAACTTAAACAAAGATCCTGAGGGAGCGTACCAGCCTGGCTCTTGAGGTTGTGGAACAGGGAGCTGGAAGTGTGGTAACGAATGGGCCTGAGATTTCTGAACTGGCATTTATTACCACACATCCAGCCCTCAGACAGAGACTGTATGTGATGGAAATACATCATGATGAAAACCGTGCTTTAATTCAGTGGATAATGGTGATGTGTAGAATCACACGGCTGAACAAAAGGGACATACTGACAAATACCAGTCTGTGAACCTCAATGGAACAACTGCAACGTTATATTAGAGAACTAGGAGTGGAGGAGGCCTTTCATGATATTTGAGAGTCCATACCTGGTTAAGCTGTCAGGAGGAATGAGGGACCTCATGCTACAACAAACTCCTCCCCCTGCAGTGTGGCACACTGGTGTCCATACTGAGCACTTTGGTGGCCTCAGAAGCCATCATCCAACAAGCTGCCCAATTGGTGGCTGACCTAGGGGAGATCTCTGCACCAGGTGCAATATCCAAACATTGGAAGGGGCCGAGGTCGTCCCCAAAACTAAAACCCAGAGACCTGCCCCATGGACTCCTCAATCAGGACCCATACAGGTACCCTGGAAACAGATGTTTAATGACTTAATCCAGGCTGGGGTCTAATTTGCAAAAATCAATCGCCAGCTCAATCGTGTCCTCCTCCAGCTATGGAGGCAGTTGGATGACAATCAGAACTTTCAAAATGCCCCCCAAAAAGTGGGTGAGAATTATTGGAAAAAAAAAAAAAATACCAGCAAAAATATGGAATCCAGAAGATTTCCTAATTCACAATGAAAGTAAAAAGCTACCTCAAGTGATCCGGGCCACTAAGCCTGAGCCACCTGGGAAAAAAGAATTGCAATTGCTCAGGTACCTGCATGAAGGGGAATGCCAGTTCCCCTGCAGTTAGGGCCCTTGGATGGGACTGGAGACCCTGTGTTGAAATGACTATATATTTTTTTTTGGTCCCAAAATAATATACAGCAAGTTATGGCATTAGTTGACAGAGGTTGCAGAAATGTCAATTATTTACAGGCAGGGCGAAGATTGGTGGATTTGGGGGACAGATGATACCTGTAACCCGGACATGGCTGAGGTTGGGATTGGGCATTTCCCACCCTGGGAGTATAAGGTGTCTATTGCCCCAACATGGAGTATATACTGGATGTAAATACACTATGGGATCTGACTCTCCAATGTCTGTAGAAGAGTTCAGACAGATGTATTAATATCCAGATGCTGCAAATAATGTGAAGAGGTCATATGAAATGTGAGCCTATTTGTTTGCTAAATCTGTGCTAGATTACTAATACTGAATAGTATAGACCCTGGGGGGGAGGGGTTGGTGGCAAGAGGAAATCTCCAGAATGGTGCAGGAACTAGAAAAAGTAGGGGTCTGCCCACGCAATTCTCCTATGCCAGTACAAAAGTCAGATGGCACGTGAAGGATGGCAGTGTTCTACAGAGTTAAATAAGGTCATGCTACCCATTCATGCAGCCTCAGCTGATATTGCCTCCCTGATGGACACACTGAGTAGGGAGATGGAAGCCTACCATTGTGTCCTAGATTTGGCAAATGCATTTCTCAGTATTCTCATTCATGAAGAATCAGAAGATCAGTTTGCATTTATGTGGGGAGGCAGGCAGTAGACCTTTCAGGTCCTGCAGCAAGGTATGTGCATTCACCAACCTATTGTCATAACTCAGTGCTGTGTGACCCAGCAGACTGCCATGATCCTAATAACATCAAACTGTACCACTGTATTGATGATCTCAAGTTGCTGTCTGACTCGCTGGAAATCAGTGACTGGTGTTACATATAACATGTTTCACAATGTCTAGACTGGAATATCTGAGAATGCTTTGTGTTCTAGAAAATGTTTTTCTAGGAAAAGATTGCTAATATCTGCATATTGATGCTTGTGATTTGGTCTGTGTGCAATGCATGGTGAATGGCAGCACTGAAGCTGCAGTATCTGACTGCTACTGCTTGGGATTGGCACCCAGGGTTGGATATCATGGGCTGCCAGGCTGCACTGTGAACTGAGACAGACCTTGCAGGGCAGAGCTCCCTAAATGCGACCCAGGCTGGGCACAGCTTATTAAACTCTTGGCTGGTTTAAGCTATGTTTCAGGTGAAGCTGTGGCAAGTTTTAAAGTCTGTTTGACAACTGCTATCTGTATACCTGTGCTCAGCTTATTTGCAAAAGCTCCTGGGAGCTGAATGATGGCAGCTACTAAAGCTGCCACAGAGCTTTCCACTTCTGTAGATTTATCTCAGCTATTTTTGCTACTGAAGGTGAGCACGATTTCAGGAGATGCAGTAGCAGATGAGACAGGGCGAATAAGTCAGGTGGAAAACATGAAGACAGATTGATGGCTGTATTTGTGACTACTGTGTTTTTGTCTTAGTAAATTCTTTCTACATTCACTCTCCTTTTAAGGTACAAATGTTACATAAGAAGCTGTTGCAGCATCTGTCAGATACATTACAAACACCACAAGTGGTGAAGTTTTTCATGTAGCAGCCTTTTTTCAGCATGAGGAGCCGGCTGCAGTGCTGTGACAGGACGGACCGTTGTGCAGCGGGTCGGGCTGTGTGTCAGCCGTGGATGGATACGGCTCACAGAGCCACAGCACCGACTGCGTACTGACGGGGTGCAGTTACTGGGAGCACAGTCACTTGTAATCCTTCTGTGTCATTGGTGGATAAAGGAAAATCAGCTGCAGCTAACAATCTTGTTACATTTTGGATGTAAAAGTATGTCATGCACGAACTGGACATAGCTGAGCAGCTGCAGGAGTAAAGGTGGCTTTTACTTGACGGCGAGGCGCAGGCAATGCTAAGAATACGTCACATAGCCGTGCTGAGCGGGCAGACCTCGCGTTAGATTTGTGCCCCGCTCTCTCCGCTCACATCGGGGCGTTTCGCGGCACGATCCCTCACTGGCATCGCGGCACGCACTGCTGCCGCCTGCAGGTCGGCGCGCGGTACTGCAGGCGGCGCTCCGACAGACGCGGTGCTGGCGCGCCTCGGCGGGGCGGGAATAGCGTAGGGGGCCGGAAGGTTTTGCGGAAGCAGCAGGAATCGCTCGGCCGATACGCGGCACGATCGGGAAAAGGCGCCCTGCGGGTAGGAAGAAAGAACACCGCTTCGGCGCCTGCCTCTCGTTGCCGGAGTGCTGCACAGCAATGCAAAACGCGGTTGTGCGAGATGCCACCCGCAGACCGCGCGAGGGCTCGCTGCCGTTAGGAATAGGAGCGGTACCTCTGCTAGGCAGAACGCGTGCGCGATGCCGCTTGGAAGACCGATAACCATAGAGCGTGGCGGACCCGGAGAGCAGAGCGGCCTGCAGCGTGCTGCCTTGTTTCTTCGTTACTAGAGACGCGTCGTTCCGCGGCGATGGCCGTGAGTGTCAGCAGCGCGGAGCCGGGGCGGCCAGGGGCTCCGCTGCCTCCGCTCCTCCTGGCCCCGGCCCGGCAACCTCGGCAGCTCAGGGCGGCTAATGCACGGCCTTACGCAGCGCTACGCCCCTCCTTCGCACCTCCTTTTACACCTTCGCACCTCCCTGCTGCCACAGCCAACGACTAAAGAGCAAAAATTTATTTTCACAGCGATGATGAAAATAATTCCATGACTTCTGTAAAGTATTACATAACTGCTTATATATATATATATATATGGTCCTCTATTCTAAGGTGCCCATGTGCCAGACACGTATTTGGTTGTGCAGCTGGTTTGTTTTTACTAAGATACGGCCAAGTTTGCTATGATGTCTCACAGAACATTTATTGAAAAACAGCTGTAACATTTTCCTGTGACTGCATGAATGGTTGAAGCAATGACCTGAGGATCAGCCTGTAGCGATAGTGTGCCTGGGCATTTCACACACAGGTACACACTTTTCATCTGTGTTTCTTTCTCCACCTAACCGTTTGTCAATGGTTGTTGTTGAGTAATTCAGCGCAAGAGAAGCTTACAGAGAACATCTGCAAAATACTCCATGCTGATGTTGCTGTTGGTTATGCGTTGTTGTTTTTGAGATACGTCACTGCGAAACGCACAACTGTTCAAAAAATAAGACTCAACATCTTAGTCCATCTCCTCTGAAACCGCAGTGCGAATGAACTGTGTGTAGCAGTGGGACGATTCATGATGCAGTTACCACTTAAATTCCTTTTTTGTTAGTGTCACGAGACTTGGAAAAGCACCAATTACTAATAAACAGAGAGAGAAGGAGAGCACCAATAGCTGTGGGATTGTAAGCAAATGCACAAAAATTCCCACAAAGTACAACAAACTCTGATATGACAGGACAAAACCATCCTGTGTCTCTTAGGAAATGAATATCAGCAGTGAAATGTAGGCTGGTTTCCTTTAAAATACCAAAGCAAGATTGTCGATTAAGACACTTCTAAACACGCTTGTGAGTACAACAGCTGCAGAAAACCGTGTCATATATAGTTATAGAGATAGTTCTCTGTGGTTATATATGGTGCTCTGGTAGCCAAAGCAAAATCTTGTTTGAACACGTACCAATTTCCAACCATAATCACACGTTAGTCTTTGATTTACTTACTGTCCCAAGTATCGCACATGAATAACTCTGCTCTGTTCCACCCACTGTGAAGTTATGGTTCAAAAACCACTGTTTGTCACAGACTGCACAAATGCATGAAGACATTGACAGCTAACGCCAGGCCTCTTTTTCATCACAGCCCGAGGCTGCCTACACCTTGAGAACAGAGCAGTATCTTAATGTTAAGATACAAAAGTGCATAAGTGCTTGAAAATGCCACCAGTTTAACTTTATACTTTTCTCAAGGCAAAAATTGTAGAGAAACTGTGAGTCAACAGAATCACATTTTAAACCCAACTTCAATCTTTATTTAAAATGGACCGCTATGATCTTCAAGAAGTTTCTGAAATAGGAATAAATAAAAATATATTTAATGCTTGTAACTTCCCTTCCCTTTTTGAAAGGTCTCTCACATTCCTGCAAACTCTCCCCTTTCCTGCCTTAGGATGCAGCAGCGCACATTGAGTTATCACAGAGATGCGCCGTGGTTCGGTTCTTTGCTGACTCACGTCTTCAGATAACGACCACAAAACCCCACAAGGACACCTTCATTTAAGCTCCTTTTCAACAATAAAGATTTCAGTACACACTTTGCTTTTTGATTCAACATGAAAGAACTTTAAATAGATTAACTTCTCTGCCTGTGAGCTCACTTCTTGTACTGAATACATCGATACAGAGATACAAACCATGTAACACAGTAGGAGGTCATTTAGTGTAAGCTGTACGAGCATCTCACGTGGATTTAACAAAAGAAGGAGTAACACGGGCAGTTAACCTGAACACGGACAGTGTGAACATCAAGGATTAATTAACCTCTCCTCCTAAATTGCACATTCCCAACAACCAGGATGAAGTACATTACCGCCTTTTAGAAGAATCAGTACTTCAAAGTGCCACTGCCTGGTGACAAATCAAAGTCATTTCGCAGCTCCTTTCACGTGTTGCCTCATTAGTGAAAACATTTACTTCAAAATACTTACAAAAGCAGGAGACATATTCTCGTCATCATCATATTGTATGACACAAAACTAAGCAATAGAATTAACTGCAAAATCCTCTTTTTATGTCTTCTGCTATTTTGTAGGGTATTTGGCATAGGCACTTGGTAAAAGTTATTACACGTGTCTGCTCCCAACAAGTACCACACAAGTTAGATAAGGTACAAAAAGTTTAAGACTACAAATATGGAAACCAAGAGAAATAGGCAAATGCACAGCACTGTACTCAAAGTGATCCGCTCCACAGAATTTAAAACATGTCTTTAAATATGAGAGCAGATGTGCCTTACTGTTCTTCTTCCCACTGGTACATTTATAAATATCGCAGTATGCAGTTAACTTACAAAGTGTAAAAAATCTAGGTAAGTTCTCACGTCTATTTAATCTTCTTATGATTTAACAGTAAAACCTATGAAATATTTGAAATTCACAGTACACATATAAAGCATCATATTATCGTGTATTAAAAAATAAGCTTAAGACCAAGAAAGCAGCTTAAAGCAATTTACAATATATCCTCCAACAACAACAACAAAAAATAATTAAAAAGTGCTTTTATAGTAATCATAGCTTTTCAAACAGCAAAGTAAACGTAGCGTTAGACCGATTCCCAGCATGGCTCAGCACAGCACACAGAGCAGACTGGCTGGGGCCTTGCTCTCAGTGCCTGCTTAGTGCACCTGTGTATCCACCTCTGCTGATGACAGCAACAGCTGTGAGTGCTTTCATTCATCCTGCTAAGATTTGTACAAAACACTGCAGTGCAAATGAACCTATGAAGTACCTTGTGCACTTGGAATGAGAGTGGGGGTTGGAAAAGACTGGGGTGGGACTGGGCTGGAATGAAAGAACCTTGAGACTATTGGAAGCTGACTGAATGGCTGATATTGATATGTAAAGGTGAGCAAGGAAAGCAACTGAGTTTCTCACATCAAAACCGAAATCAGTCTAACGCTATTAAATGGATTAATTGTCAGTGATTTATATAATTCTTATACAAAATACAAAAGCATAAAATATATTTCATTCATTAACATGATATGAATACCATGCTGTATGTTACCACAGATTACTTTTTTTCTTGCAGCAGGGACATTCTTCTTGCTTAGCTGCACAGTGATCACAAAGTATGTAATGTTGACATGGATTCAGGACAGTGCTACCATCACCTTCTTGACATACTATACACTTCTTTGACTGAAGCTGAAAAATCACCTGTAAGATGATTACTGCACTCAGTAAAAGGATTCCAAACTGTACAGTTATGTTTTAGCAACTTTACGCTTAGCTGTGCTGACAAAAACTTTAACAACACAAAGAATACTGGCTTTGCATGATGAATAACCAAGGCGAGGGCTGTAAGATCTGAGCATGCACAACCATTACAACAAGCTGGAGGAGTATAGATGCACTCAGACAAGAAAATATCTAGGTTAGCACTTCTGGACTGCAGTTTTTCTGCACCATTGGGATAAGTGATGCAAAGAAAGAAAAAAAAAGTCAGCCTCTTTTACTATCGTGTATTTCCTTGTTTTGACATTTTAAAGTACTGTTACATTTTCTTAGGTTGTGAGAGGTGTTTGCATTAAGACAAAATGGAAGCTTTCCAGGTAAGCTACACTTCGAATAAAGCTACAGGGATGGATTTGGGATGGATGCAAATAATGTCTCCATGTGGTAAACCACACCAACCTTATGAAGGGACAGGAAGAAGTGAACGGCATCTAAAAGCTATATTCATTTTTGAGAGAGTCATCTTCGGGTTAAGAGAAACATCCACAACACTGTGTTGCACTAAGACAGCACCTTTCTCCTGGATGGAAGAGACAGGTGAGAAGAGGCCACAGTGGTAAAGGAAACCTGAGAAGCCGAGCAGCTGTAAAGGCTGGTAATTGTGAACAGCCCAGACTGGCTGAGATGACTTCTGCCCCAGGATCTAATGACTTGGTTCAGATAGGAGATGCCGGGACTGTTTTGCTTCTATTTAAAATCCCCCAGGAGAAAAACAAGTGATCCCTAAAGCAAATGTACTCAGCACAGGAGCCTGGCAATAGCAAGTCTCACCTATCTTCATTGCCAGAGACTTAAATAATGTTTTAACCTCCTGTAAGGAGAGCCTGGCTTTTCTTTAAGGCAACAGTTCATGCTGATACAGATGGCACTGGACAGGAGGAGCACTGAGACAGAGAATACGGTGCTGAACTCTAACAGGTATAGGAATATGGCAGACTGTTCTAGTAAGTGGAAGGAAATATTACCTTTTTTTTTTTCTGGACTGTTCAGTGACAGTCAAAGCAAAAAGAACTGCCATCACATGTGCTATCACTGCCCTTCCAGACTGCAGAATAAAATGTAATGTAAAAGCAAGCTCAGCTCAGGACAGTCTGATGTAGGAATGAGGCACTGTCACTATCATCTCCCTTGATTATGCTCAGAGGAAGAGAATATGACTTTCAAAGCTTTGACAGCCCTGAGAAATGCTCTGCATCTGACAGCAAAAGAGCATCTTATGTTTTGGCAGAACCCAAGTTTGGGTTTTAGAGAAGGTGGAATGCAGCACTGTGGTCACTAACGTGGCTAAGGGACCAAAGCATCTGACACAAGGAGAAGCTGAAAGAAGAGAGGGATTCTTATCAATGTGTATAAATACCTTGTGGGAGGAAGTAAAAAAGATACAGTCTCCTCTTGATGGTATCCAGTGAAAGAAGAGGCAACAGGCACAAATGATAAGGACAGGAAATCCCACTTTTACAGTGAGGGTGGTCAAACATTGGACAAGGCTGCCCACAGAGGTTCCAGCATCTCCATCCTTGAAGATATTCAAAACACTTCTGGGCCACGCTGTAACAATCTGCTCAGGTTGACCCTGTTTGAGTGGGGCATTGGACTAGATGATCTCCAGAGGTCCCGTCGATTGCCAGTGATTCTATGCTCCAAGTCTGTACTGGCCTCTCTGACTACACAAACTCCTAGTGCAGAACCTCACCACCTACATTCTAAACAAGCGAATAATGTGTAATTGTTTACATTTATCTACTACAACTTTTAATTTATTTAGGTAGTGGCTGAAATATTGGCAATTTAAGCTTTTTCAGATTATTTATTTATTTATTTAAAATCACCCTCAGAACCCTTGTGAATTGCTTGTCATTTTCTCTGATAGCTGATCAAAAAAATCAGAAGAATCTATCAGGCTGAGAACTCTGAACATCACGTAGTCCAGAAAGAAAGACTTAACACTGAGATCAGTGATGCTCTCTGAAATTAAACCTGGCATGTGCATCTCACTGAAGCTTACTGAGCTGTCAGTTTTAATTAAGCAAAAACAGTTACACAGATGAAGAAACTCACCTCATCTATTGTTCCTAAATCTAAGTGCAGCCGGCTTTGTAAGGAGCGAAGCTTTGGCAAGGAGATTTTTTCTATGTCTCCATAGTTTTCCATGTAAGGTAATGCAGTAGACAGGCAGGCAGCTAATTGCACCTTCAGCTTTTTTAATTTATTTTCCACTGCTTCCTTCTTCTGAAGAGCGAGTTGTTTGTCAGCAGATGCAACATCAGCACGTTCATTTGCTTCTTGAGCCTCTTTCTGCCATGCATCACATGCCTGAGAGAAAATGATTTCCAGAATGTAAGAAAAATTGTTTTTTCACTTAAAAATGGAAGAGTAAATTCAAAAGCCTTCAAAAATGCACATTTCTAATTTTAAACACAACAGTGTAATTATGGTCAATTTAATGTTTTTCCCTACTTATCCTACTGTCACATTTATGGAGCTCTATGAACGGAACATGCTCAAATTTCAGTGTCAGGAGACATTAAAACCTGCCAGAATGCAGCAGAGGTACTTTGCTGCTCCTTATCACAGAGAATATGATGTGAGAGGAAGAAAAGGACTACAGCAAATGCACTGGAATGGCAATTGTCAAGAGCCTGGTTTGACTGCTGAGATGGCTGAATGTCATCCAGGCACAACATGCAGCCAGAGCTGCTAGCAAGCTTTTGTGTGTGTGTTTGCACGCGCTTACCAGTGGAAAGAGGTACAGGAGGGAATGTGTGTCTTTAGTTACTTTACACTGAGACACACAGCTGTTCAGCACTAAAGGGTCTGCTTCCTTTATGCTGCCAGCTCATTTAGGAAAGGGAAGAAACATCATTCATGGTCAATTCACTTGATAGATTGTAAAAAAACTCTGGGTTCAAGGATAATAAAACTTGTAAAAAGGAAAAACAGTTGGAGGTGCATGTTTACTAAGTACAGAAAAAAATGTAATACTACCATAAATGAATGTACCTGTTTTACTTGTTGCCAAGATTCTTCCCATTGTTTCAGTTTTCTCTTGGCATCATCAAGTTCCTGTCTAACTCGAGTCAGTTCGTTCCCACTGCTGTTTGAACTCACGGAGGGGGCAGTGCCACTGCTCAGAACTGGGGATGGGCTGGGAGAGAAATTCCCAGTTACAAAGTCCCACATGCTCCCCGTAACACCATTTAAACCTGTAAAACAAAAAATAGTGTCTGCACACCCTGCTGCAAAATGTTTCACATGCAGAACTACATAAACGCACTGCAAACGCAAAACTTACAGTTCTACCTGCAAGACTCGTTATTTGACTACCTTCAGAAGCATAAAAGTCTGGAAAATATTTCTAGTTCTGGAACAATTCACAAAACTTACCACATGCTTTTCTCTTGCTGCTTTTATTAAAAGAGAGCAGAGTCAGCAAAAGGAGACGAAATGGTGGGAATAATTCATGTACAAAAACCTTTGCTCCCGGAAGTCCATACATCATTTTAGTTCTTTCTATTTTCTATTTTCCATTAACAAAAGTTGTGGCTAAAACGTGTTCTTACTGCCTACTCTTATCTTTCAAATGCCTAAGTAAATATCTCCTCTTCCAAGAACACTTTTTGTCCTCACTAGGAAGGAAAAATTAACTCCTGGAACTCCCTCCCACCTACCCCATTTAACACCACTGTCAGCAGTGTTAACGATTACAATAGCTGGGCTTTGTCTTCCAGATCATGGGAAATCTGCACAGCCTCGAGCTGAACCCTCCTGAGCTGCCATCGATTCCCCTCTTTAAACACAGCAGTGCAGCCTTCAGCCTACTTACCTAACGAGTTGTGAGAAGAGGCAGAGGTGCCCAATATATTCTGTTCTGATTTCAAAGGCTGAGGCTGCTGTTGGTGAGGGACCATAGCGGATGAAACAAAAGACTGAGAAAGTGATTGTGAAAGAGAATTGAGTGGAGAGGTTGAAAGGGATGATGATGAATGTAGAGAGGAGGAACGAACAAGAGAACCTGGAATATTGACAGGTGCTGAACTTTCCAGTAATCTTTTACCTAAGCATGCACAAAAAAATAAAAAATAAAAATCAGTTCCAAAGCAGGACACAGCTCTGCAAGTATTCTTAAAATTAAATTGCATATTCAAATACCTGCCATTAATAAACAATGTATTATTTATCTGCTATTGTAAGAAACATTTTAAATTTGAACACTTAGAAGCAGTGCCATCATCTGCGGCTACAGAGAGAGAGAAAACATTTTTCAGATCAGGTTATCTGACTCAGAAATATTTACAGCCAACTAAAGCAAATGGAAAAACTGAGTGGAACTTAAAGGAGTAAGAAAAATTTGTTTTGTGTTTTAATACATAAACTAGAGTTGAGAAAGTGAGACTACATACCTTAAAATGTTTTACTGAGTAATAGTCAGAAATACCTCAATTTCTTTCTTCTACATACTTTCGTTCAGTAGATTTTAAATGTCAAATGTACTTTAGTCTACAGAAACTAAGTTTGAAACAAAGTAATAAATAATATAATCAAACAGGTATTGCTCATAATTTTCCAAAATAATGGCAATAATAAAAATAAGGTATCTTTAGAATGAATGTTAAATGATGCAATTGCTTGAATAACTGTGAACAGACGCCTTGGTTTTCCCCAGTCAGGAAACAGTTCAATATTTACTGTAAAGATTTTAATCAATAATTTTGAATAGCAGTAAAAATGACATCACCTTCTCCTTGGAGAAAATAGAGCAGTCAAGTGAGTTATACTTGAAATCATGAGTCATTATTATGGTTTTCTGTTTTTGCTTAAAACTGATGAATTTATGTCATCAGAGAAAACATCTTTTTAGAAATACTAAAAAAGAAGAAAATAATGCTCATTATAAGCTGCACTGCAACAATGTCTTCAAAAATGTATCATGGGACACTCAGGAAGTGCTGGCAAAGTCTCCTGAGCAACTGCCTAAGGAAGATACAGGACAGACCAGAGATGTATGTAACATAACAAACAATAAACCTACACCTCTGTTTGCAGGAGAAGCAAGGGAGCAACACAGTAAAGGCAGTTTAGTTTAAGAATCTGGCCCAGTAAGAACTCTCAAATTTTAAGAGCCCGAGATCCCAAGCAAACACTGTATGGGGTTTCACAGAGCCATCTCTTTTCTAGTACTCGAGTTATTCCTCACATCTACTGGATTTTGCCCAACACAATCAGCATCGAGTAGCAAGGCTGTGGGTGAGGACAGGCCAGCGCTGCCCCATGCTGGGCACAGCCATTCCCAGCCACCCGCAGTGCAGAGCTGCTGCAGCACACAGCCAAACCCATCAGCAGCACTGGTGCTGCTTCTGGGAAAAGGCATGTAAGAGGGCAAAAAGCTGCAAAGCAGCAAGGAGTGAGAAAAAAGGTGTAAGAAACAGCCCTGCAAACACCGATGTCAGTGAAGAAAGAGCAGAAGGAACCAGAGCAGAGATTGCCTGTGGTCAGGATTTTCAATAAATGCATCAGGACATTCTATAAATGTAAGCCAGTCCTTCCAGCAGCTATTCTGCCCACGGCCCCAAGGGCATGCCAGAAGCACTTTTTAATCGAGCAACCCCTTCCAAAAGACAGGCAGGATGACAGCAGTCTAACCTGCTTACATCTCAAATTTAACAGGAAGAACAGAACCGAGAACTATTTGGCACAGTCACTGTTGTCTGTAACAACAACTGTGAAGAGTAAACTCTTAGAAAGGTGAGAAATAAAATTCCTTCAAGTGATACATAGTTTGGTTTTACAATTTGAGCCGCTTACTTGCTAATCCAAGGTCACTGCCTTCTTGATCTTCCAACTCCCTACTGATGGATGCCACATTCACACCGTTGAAATGCATATCTAGAGCTGAACCTGTTAAACAAAGCACTGCATAGTGAATTATCCGTGATGCTGAAATGAGGAAACTTTGATTATTTTTATTATCATTTCCATCATAAAAATCCTTAATGTCTATCTAATACCATGCAGCACCATCCACTGCCCAAAGTGTGTTCCAATTAACACTAATAATTGCATAACTGGGAAGATCTAATGAGGATTTTGATGAATAGCTATACTGCCAATACAGTTGACATGGGAAAGCATTATGGGGGAGGGAACCACCTGCTGTGCTGGACAGGATGCCCAAGAAAGGATGTTCCTCTGCCCCAACTTGCACTTCTCACCTGGCATCTTGGACAGCTTTCTCTGTCCTTTTTTTTCTCCCTCTTCTTACATTTCCATTTTTCTCTGTAAATGATATTGACCATTGTGTTCCCAACAGCAATGGACCCCACTAATCATCCTTTGTGCACATGAACCTTTCTCAGTATGTTTGTGCAACAACACCATATGAAGGAGATGTTCCTTTCTTTTCTTGTGTTGGTTTTTCTTTCCCCCTCCACTAGAATAAAAGCAGGCCATTCACACCATTTCCCTTGTCTAACAGGAGTAGCTTGCAGTCTTCTGCAGCTTCTGCTGCATCTTCAGTGTTCAGTGCATCACCTAAGCCTCAATGTTAAGTGCTAGCTCTATCTGATTGGCACGCTCATTCTAAGCACCCCTACCCCTTCTTTTCTTCAGCTCTTGAGGACAATTACTCAGCCAGCAGACAGAAAAAACTTAAGAGCTCCCCATGCAATCATGATGAAGGGACAAAGAAAAGGCTTCAGACCTCCCTGTCTGACAAAGCTTCCTCAGTTCTTGCTAATATAACTCCTGCATTTCCCATAGTCCTTTATCCAAATCCATTCTTCCTCTTTTCCCATTACCACCTACTGTCTTCTCTTCCTGCAGCTCCTTCACTTTTTTTTTGTTTAAACAATTCTTCAATGCACCAATTTCTACAAGAACATGACAGATTTGTTCTACGAGCACTTTACATTTTTTGCTCTATTCAAATTACATACAGCACTTCATTTTCATTGCCATCCAGTATATCCACAAACTCTGGAGAAATAACTTAACATATATGAAATTTCTTTGGGGAAAAAAAAACACAAAACCTACACAGTTACAGTAAAGCACAGTAACCTACACTTCCATGAGACATGGACACTGTGACTCACCTTCAAGTAACAAAAATATCATCCTGAAAACTATTTCAGAAAAACAGCTGAAGGCAGCAGAGGCATATTTTACCTCAGAAGAATCAAGGATCTCTTAAGCTCAATAACAGAATGACAAATGGGAAACAGAGCATATAACAGCTTAAATGACTTTGCAACACTTGTTCTGCATATAATTTTAGTATATAATTTTAAAATTGTACTGAATTAGCACCACATCAAGTACATGGAAATTAGACCTTGGATTTTACGGTTACATTAGCTACTTGTTCTGGTCAACTAGCACACACTTACTCCACAAGCACTCTTTATTTTGACAAAAAAAAATTATTTCCACAGTATTAACTGTAAGCAGTGACATTATATTACTCGCAAAGAACAAAAACTAAAAATCTGCTCACTAATTCTAACAACTAAAAATAATTTTACATTTATGTTTCAACACACAGATCATCCAACAAACCTTTTAGGAAAGCAGGGTATACTTGTGAGACTGAGGAAAATATCTGCCATTTAATATTCTGCACAGATTACTTTCAAAAAGAGATGAGAAGAGGAAATGCCTACCTTACCATTGCTAAGTGCTGACTCACTGCCTGCAGTCTCCTGCTCTCTGGCACACACTGATTTAAACACAGAAACCTTCAAGCACACCAGCTAATCACAGCACAGCCCTGCTCATGTGACTGACACCACAGGCTGCAGAATACAATGTCCTTCAAATCACATTTCCTGCTACAGCCTCCTGAATAAATCATATTTACTGTAGAAGTGCCACATATTTCAGCAAGTTTGTGCATAACGCTAATTAACAGGGACCACGAGATGTCAGGATTGATACTTGGAGGGATGGAGAAAGGCTGTCTGAAAGGGCTGCCAGAAACCACATGAAGTTCAACTGAGCCAGATAAAGTAATGCAGCACCTGGGATAGAATAATCCCTTGCAACAGTACAGGCTGGGGACCAAATGACCAGAAAGCAGTTTTGCAGAAAAAAAGCTAGGAATCCTACCAATGAATACATTCAGCATGTTCTGGGGGAAGTAAAAGCAGCTGGCCTGCATTAGGAACAGTGCAGCACACTGAGGGAAATGATTGCTCTCCAGCACCTGTGAGACCACAGCAAGAGCACCATGACCAGTTTTAGGTTTCTCCATGCAAAAAAGACATTTACATGCTGCACTGTGTCCAGTGCCTTGCTATCTGGATGGTTAGGGGACTGAAGCACATAATATACAAAGGCTCAAACTCTCAAACTCTGTATTCTTGAACTGATACAGTTGATCTGTCAAAGTATTTGGTAACTCAAGCAGGAGAATCACCAGCAACAGCATGAAATGTTTGATACATGTCTTCAAAAACTGATTTGTTTTCGGAAGGAGATGAGCATACAGTGTGCTCTGTTCAGCCTACAGTGGTACTGTGTAAAAAGTACACAGCAGTTCAGAAGACAACAGTACATAATAGTGTACATTATGTGTGTATTTCCTTTCAGAGAAAACCATGGGATTTCAAATTGTTACAGTGTTCTGTGCTGCCCTATGACCAAACCCTGTCAGACTGACACTTAACAGGGCTCTGGGCAAATCCAACAGTGCCTGGAGTACTGTGTCCAGTTCTGGGCTGCCCAGCACAAGAGAAGTGCTGGAGAGAAACCAGCATAGGGCCACTAAGACAGCTAAGCTCTGGATAAGCCTCCTTAGAATAAAGATGTCTGTATCTCTCTATGCATATTGTTGAGGATACCCTTGTACCAAGTGTCAAGTTATTCTTGGTGTGAGGATGTAATTATTTAATAATTAACTGAACAGCATAATGTGACATGAGTACCTTCGGATGACTGCATGAATTTACTGTCAAAGTTCTCTCCTTTCTTATTAACAACTAGGACAGAAAAGCAGTGTCTAATTATTATTTAAATATTTATCTCCTTTTAACATTTTCCAGCTAAAAAGCCTTGCTGGTTGGAACCAAGGGAAAGGCCCAGGGTTAGTGATGAGGATTTCTGAATGGAGTATTTCCTGAATCCGTCCTGTGTATCCAAACAAAAGCTTCCTCCTTTTTGTGTCCTTTCAGGTCTGGCGCACATAAGGAGAACAAAAATACGATTTTGCCCCTGAATGGATCGATAAGGAGATTGGAAAATAGACAGCCAAGAAAAATCTCCCACCTTCCTGCAAAGACAGTAAAATCTGTAACTGCACCTGCTAAAGTAACCTCAAAGAGAAAAAAGTCAAATCTCAGTGGCTCACCAACACAAGTAGAGGAGACATCACTTCTATTTCTAGGAATGTGGTGAGATGCATTATGAAGGTTTTATGCATTCTTAAAATTGCTGGCCACTATCAATGACATATTCCATTTAAAACATGTCCCAATTACTCATTCCTATGCTTACACTGCAGTTTATGAAAAACAATGATTTTTTGGGAAAATATTCAATTTAAAACTCAGATATTGTTTTTAATTAAATATAATAAAGTTGAGTACATACAAATGCCTTTACCAATAAGCTGTTCTGAACAGACATTAAAATAAGGAGAACTTGAATAATGCAATAAACTACACACAATCAGAGAGTAGATGTTAAGACTTACCTATAACTGATTCAACTGTGTTACCAGCAGAATAGAATGGGAGAGTTTGGGTACTGATAATAGAGACAGTTGTAGGAGATGAACTATCTGATCCAACACTGGAGGCCAGACTGGAAGTAATACTTGAAGCGAGTGGGTTAACCACTGAAAAAACACTGAGATGGTTCTGTTAAAAACAAACACGTACAATAGAGTATGTGTGTGTATTCTTACACAGACGTGTAAGCACATGAAATAAATACAGTGCAATTTTAGAAATCATTATTTTAGTTCAAACAGAAAGAAATCCAAAAGGAATCTCTAAATGAATAGATTAAGATAATTTTCCTTATCATTTCCATGTGGTTGGATATTGCCACCATATGAGGAAGTTTTGCTTTCAGAGAAAAGGTATTTAAATACCTTCAAATGAGCTTTACAATCAGTTAGTCAGCTGAAGTCTGATGACCCTTTTCAAAAGGAAAATATCTACTGAGCAATTATACCATTTCATTATACATTTGTACACAAATTATATTCTAGATTTCTTTGTTCTGCAAAATTTCCCATTTAATCCAAATGCAACTGGTGCATGAACTGATCTTCATTTTAGACAGGGGAGAAACTAAACTGCACAGCACACACCTCTACTACTTATTTCTAGCTGAACTTGTTTCACACAACTCCTAAAACATCCTGAGTCAGATGGGACCCACAGAGATCACCAACTCCAACTGCTGGCTCTACAGAGCACCACTCACAACTCAAACTGTAGTTCTCAGAGCACTGTCAAATGCTTCTTGAAATCCAGCAGGCTTAGCGCTGTGACTGCTGCCCTGGGGAGAATGTTCCAGCATCTGACCACCCTCACAGTGAAGAACTTTTCTCTAATACCCAACCTGCCCTGTCTCTACTGCATGCCCTCCCCTTGGGTCCTGCCACCGGCCACCAGACAGATCAGTGCCTTCCTCTGCTCCCCTTTCAAGGAAGTTGCAGGCCCCCATGAGACCTTCTCTCAGTCTCCTCTTCTCTAGGCACAACAAACCAAGAGACTTCAGCTGTTCTGCACACACCCTGGCTTTCAGACCCTTTAGTGCAAAATTACAGAATGGCTGAGGTTGGAATGGACCCCTGGAGGTCACCTGCTCCAACCCTCCTGGTCAAGCAGAGTCACTTAAAGTAGGCAGCCCAGGGCTGCATCCAGAGGACTTCTAAACACCTCAAAGGAGGGTGGCTCCACAGACTCTCTGGTCCGGTGCTCAGTCACTGTCATAGTAAAGAAGAGTTTCCTGATCGGATGGAACCTCCTGTGTTTCAATTTATGCTCATCACCTGTTTCTTTAGGCTGCTTTGCAAAGTGCCACAGAATTTTGATACTGCTTTAACGAATCATCCAAAAGGGCAAAATATTAGTGTTAGGCTTTTGGCAATACCTGCTTGTTGTCCTGTTCATTTTTTTTCTGCTGATTCTCAGCTGAGAAGCTTCGCTGCTTTGCCTGAAACAAAAAAAAATTATGAAATATATGAACTTAACGAGTCACTGATAAAAATATATAACTAGCTCATGAAAGGTCAGAAGCATCTCTCTAATGATGTCTTGAAAAGAGGGCGACTTAATTTCCCTTGCTGCAGTTCCATAAGGACAGTTAAATTTTAACGATCGCAGAGTAAATCAACATGGAAATTGAGCACATGGAAATTATTTCTAGCTCCTAAACTGAGTAGCCATTTTAGCACTATGACACGACTGAAATAACACGTTCCAAGTGCTTGCCAGCTGGTAACTATTTCTCCAAGAGGCTGCTGGGATAGAAGCCTGGGTTAGCCTGAAGTTTCAGAACTGCCTACATTTTCTCTTTCAGCAATCATGCTACAAATAACAAACAAAAACATTTAAATATAAAGGCAGATTTTAACACCATTTTATAATGAGGTAACTTCTGAAAGAAGTGAGACATACCTAAATAAAAGGGAACTGTAAGCCCTTTCTCTTTGCCACTGTGTTCTTGCAGAACAAGATCAAAAGTATTTCTGCTCTTTTCAAACCAGTAACTTTAAGTGATTTCCTGAATCGCAGTAAGCTCTGCACAGTCCCCTCTGTCTCTTCAGGAAGTTATTTCTGCCGCCTTTGTAAAGTTCTTTGTTCTTTTTTTCCTTTGAGAGATTCCTAATCTCTCTTGTAGTGAATGTTCCCTATCACTCAGACACAACTCTTCTCTTTCTATGCCTCCCATTATTCTACATGTTTTCTTCATTGCAAAGCCCATCACTGCCTCCTTTCTAGGCATGGCCAACTTGGCCAGTAAAAAGCAAGCATGACTTGTTTGTGGCTGAGATGCATGTTTTGTAACAGCACATAACTCACTGATTTTCACCAAAACAGCACCAAGGCTATATTGTTTCTCAGTTAATGCTGACTTACCTCCAGAAAGCAGCCATTTGTTTGGTGCTGTTACTTCGATAACATTTGATCATGAATCATCTGATCACTACATTAGGAGATGGAAATCTTGTCAAAATAACCAGATCACTAATTTACAGTCTGGCTGAACATTTACACCTAAGAAAGTGACCCTGCCTGGAGAACTTCACTGTAATGATCTTGCCATCACCTACAACACTTTAGCATTTAAATAAACAGAGTTACAAACAAAAAAATAAAAGTGAACCCTACCAAATCTAGCTATGTTTGGGTTTCTTCACAGTTATCTTGATCTATTCTTGGCAACATGGGCTTAAAAATGACCATCACATTTCTGCAAAATTATGATTTACTGCATGCCAGCTGAGCTGCAGTGACAGATTCTGTGAGTGTTCTTAGTCCATGACAAGTGCATTTTGACACAGTTTTTAGCTCTCTACAGGAAAGGATTCCTGACCTTGGGTTTAATATTATTAAAAAAAAAAAAAAAATCACTGTAGATACAGGAGATAGAGAACATTTTCTGCTTTATCTATTTATTTAAGATTGTATTTATACTTCTAGATGCACATTATTCACATACCTGATCTTCTCGTTCAAAACCTGGTGCTTTAGGATAGCTGGATGTTGGTGAAGAAACACCTGAAGTGCTGGACTCAGAACACAAAACACCATTTGCTAATGATCTCTGTCTACAAAGAGGTCCAAGGGGTGACAAAGAACTACTGCTACCAGAACTTGATGTTACAGGTGGACTTGAAGAACAGGAAATCTGTAGGGGACAGAAAACAGTGTCTAATACATTCTGTAACACTTTTTATGCTTATAACAACATTCTCTCCTCCTAAGACAATAAATTGAAATTATAAATTAAATTAATTTCACTCTTTTCTTAATACAATGCTAACTTCAGCATATTTGTGTGTATTATTGGTGTAAGCTGAAAAAAGTACCAGATGACAGATGTTGAATATATATATATTCAAATTGATACAAAAATAAAGATAAAAGTTCTGCAATATACCTTTCTAACTCCTGTCCTAGCTGACAAAATTTTCTATTACAGAATACATTTACTACCCCTGTAATCAAAAACCTTTCTACTACCAACACACTCTGCACACTGCATCGCTGTAAGAAGCTTTAAGTAAAGCATGACTGGGTGAGACATCACTTCACATATTAATAAATTAGGACAGAAAAGAGGGGATCTTTCAAGATCTTTCAACAATGAAATTTTTCCTATAGAAAAAAAAAAGACACAGATAAGTTAAGCTGTCCTTTAGTTGTATGTTTGATTAACAACAATGCTTCTCACTGGAGCATTCAGAATAATTGCATCTTAAGACAAAAACAAGGGCAGAAAATACAGGTAATACATGATTAAGTCTGGTTTCCAGAGCAGACATTCCATTTAGGTTTTCAAAACTGGGTAAATATTACCTTCTGACATTTAGTATAGCTTTGATTTTTTTTTTCTCTTTTGTTGATGTACAAAGAAATAAAAAAGAGCTGCTTAAGGAATAAAATAATTACATATTGGCAGTGCTAATCAGTGCTAGCTATTACAGAGTCATCTACACTTACATTTCCAGACTGCCCACTGTTACTTGTAACACTGTTTGTGGCATTAAGACTGCTGCTCCATTCATTTGTGATTCCTAGGCTGTCTGTTGAGAACAGGTGAGCACCTGGTTTGACTGAAAAGTAACAACACCATCATAATTACTGGGTTGGTTTCGCTTTTGGTTTTTTTTTTTGTTTTTTTTTTCCCCTCTCCCCAGCCCAGAACCACTTTACTTAATAATAAACAATGTAAAGAGAAACTTTTGCTTACAGTGCTTAACTTCAGAAGGAATATTAACCTTTGAAAAAGTTTATTCTTAACTTAGATGTAAATTACAATCAATTATTTGTTAATTTTAATACCAGAAAATTCATCTCAAAATAACTGAACAATTACTTCCCAATTTCCCCAAAGCCTACTTTGTTAAACTATTAAACATCTCAGACATTTGATTATTTTAACTTAACATCTTAAGGAGATTTAGTCTTCAATTTTTACATACAAATAACAAGTTAACAAAAAATTTTTACTTTAGTAAACAATTGCATTTAATGATATTCCTCCCCTCATAATTCATGCACACAATACCTCCAAGAAGGGGAGCAAGGACTGGGAAAAAAAATCTCTCAAACCCTACAAATCCTGCAAGATTTTTTTTTTTCCACCTCTTGCAACTAACGCACTTCTGAAGGGGTAACAGTAAGCTACTACTTAGAAATCAAATGTGAACATTTCTTTCCTAGGAACAGTAAGTAGCTCTGCTAGAGTGCAGGGCTGTGCCAGAAACAGGATGAGTGTGAGACAGAGACACCTCTCTTCACTGCAGACAGTGCAGCTGAGGACTGTTTCTAGCAGTGCAGTTTTTGCTACTCTGCCTATTAGCAGTAAGTGAGAGAAATACATTACATTTGAAATGTTTGCTTCTACAACCATTCTAATTCCTTCTAATAGCAAACATCATCATTTCTGGCCAGCTCCACGGAAGTTACAAACTCTACACTGGAAGCACCCCCCAGCTTAACTGTATTTCCACAAAGACCTACGGATGTGGTTGGAGTCCCACATGGGGGCCCCACTCATGGGCACCACTGAAACTCCTGAAAATCTGTCTTGAAGGAGTAGTGAAAATTCATCATGGCCTTAAGAAATCAGGAAGGAAAAAAAGAACAAACAACAGGTCAGCTGATTGTGAAGAACTCACTGAGAGAAGACCAGGAAGACTACCATAGAAAACACATGCTTCCCCAAGTCAGTTCAACAGAGAATGGTAGAAGCCGCTGAGAAATGTATGAATGGTGGGAAGGATTCCACAGAAATTTATCTAAGTTTACTACAGTAGTTTCAATAGGACAACGAGTGTATTTACAAGTCCAACAGGTATATATTTGGTAAGTCAAGCTCAAAGAGTTGTAGGGACAAGCTGCATTTGTAAAGAAAACTTTCTGTTCTGCTGCTGCTGCAAATTTGATGTACATTCAGCAACCTCCCTTAGCAATGTAATATATTGGAAAATATGGAATGAATTTCTAAAAACAAGTGACATCAATTGCCATTTGCCCCTTAAAATTAAGGATTTTAAGTCACTCCTGCTGCAGGTGCTTAAAAATAACACTGATAGAAAACAGTAATTCTCTTACTTACTTTCACCATGTGCAAATGCACAGAACGGGCCCCGAGGGCAGTAACCCGTCTGGCGCATATCATTGCACTTTGTAGACTTGTATATCTAAACAAAACAGAAGTGTGATTAACTGAAGCATATTTCCTACTGAGCAATAAAACAGATAGAAAATTTTAAAGCCTTTAAATGAAAAGTTCTTAATATTAAATTAATAGCAATACATTTAATATAGTTTTCTCAGAAAACTCAGTTCTTGCGTTTCTAAAATCAAACAGAAAAGCAGAACAGTAAGAAAATTAAACCTCAAACGAGAATCCTAACCTCATTGTGTAATAATAAATACTAACAATTGCATTTTAAAAAGCCTTGCTTAAATTGCTTTTGTTTTCCATGAGGTATAGAAACAAGTCAAACACCAATCAAAGTCATTAACACCACTGTAAGAAATTTTACAGGAGAAATTATGTCTGTATGTCTGTATGTCTGGGGCTGCTGAATCACGGCCTGAACCTCTGATTGATCACCTGAGGCGAGCACTGAGTCAGCCCTGGAGCACAGGTGAAGGCAATTCAGCTGCACTGCAGGAAGGGGTGGAGCCTGGCTGCACCTCTCCCAGACCTATTTAAGAGCTGACTGCCAATAGACAAGGATCTCTTCTGGAGATCTGCTCTGCTGGAGTTTCGTAGTGAGCCCAGGATAGGGTGAGTGTCCTTTCTTGCTCTAGTATAATAATTATGTAAGCCAAGCTCTTGGATATACCATATCATCTGTATATTCATTCATTCTACGATATACCAGAGTGTCTTAAGAAGAAAACAAAACAATCTGCTTTTTTTCCTACACGCTGCCTGCATTGCTACACCTCTAATATTTAAATCTTACTAACGTTCAAATATCTTTCTCTAACCTGACTGAGGCACGTGAGAACTGAAGTAACATTGACAGTTCAGGGCAGCAATCACGATGTAAGCTGCACACAAAATCCAGGTGCAGTTTCCTGGCTCTAACGGGATCTCTTGTCTTTGTATTTCACATGGCTTAGACAAAGCTGACACAGAACAATGTTTATATCAGAACAACATTAACCTATTTGAAAGCACACAGATTCTTCTGATAATTAATTCCAGGAATTTGCTGATCTGTGGCAAATGGCAGTGGTCCCCCAAGCTTTGGCAACAGAAACATAGAAATAATTTATTTTTCCTTAAACACCGAACAGGAGACAAAACACCCATAGTGCAGGGAAGCATCCACCTGAAGAACACACTTCATAGAGCAGTGGGACTCATCTTTCTACCAGTTTCACTGGGAGCTATCAAAGCATTGCAAAACATGAAGGAGTAATTTGTGGACACCATACCCAAATCAGGAAATGAAGCTGGATCCTTCTCTTACCTGTTCTCTGGTTATTGGTGAATATAAAATCCCCACTCTGTATATCTTATGCTTATTATGCAGAAGGAAAAAGTAGTACTACCAGATGGTTTCAACAAAAGCAGTAGCTAGAAGTTGAGTCTTGAATTGTTGTCCTAATCACAAAATCATTCCTAGTCCTATGAGACACCCAGGTGGTGAGAAATGCCTACTGATACTTAATACTATTGGAAGAAGTGACAATATGGAGAAAATCAGAAGAGTGTAGGGGCCAGAGCTGGCCTGGATTCTGGAGATGGCCACATCGTCTGCACGTACCAATGTTACAAAGCCTGCTATTTAGCAGTGGTGGAATAAAGCTATTCCTAAATATGATAACTATAAGATTTCTTCAAAAATCAATCATTGAGCCAAAAGGCAACGAGAATATTCTTTATCTGAATCTGGTGAAGCGTGAGGACACAAAGTCCAATATAAAAAGATAACGCTGGATAAAGTGACTATGAATTGAACTTGAAGGACACAGAAAAGTAATGCTGAATTAATGCCCTTGATTTCAAATCAGTAGGATGAGAAATGAAGGCAAATGGTAACCACCATCAAACAGATTGAATTTCACTGCAGAGTAAAATGAGCACTTCACATCCTCTACCTCTAGTCAGAGGCTCAAAAGCTGTGTGGAATTTCCATTCTAACCACACAGCTACAGCCAGAGCTTGAGCAAAGGGAAAAGATTACAGAGTACAACGTTGAATAGAATCTCCTTTGAGCAGAAGCATGCTGCTAGTTTCTGTGAAATTAAATGCTACAGCTAAAATTAAGCGAGCTGATAACCCTGTGACCATGAAGCTGTCTTGCGTACCAGCAGGAATTATGTCCAACATTTCAACAAAGGCAGTACAGCTAATGGAAATAAAGATGGACAAAGACTGAGATGATCCAGCTGATGTGGGGGCAAACTAAAACTACCTTTGGTTCAGGGCCAGGAAATGAATTAGGCAACTGTAAGCGAGAGGTTTTAAAGAGTGGTGTGTAAAGCAGCTGCAGTTGGCACATACTTGTAGTAAAGCAGTCGTACCAAAAGCACTACATATGGCTGAGGCATACTAGGCATAGCACCCATTAAGTTTGAGAAGAGCAAAAAGAGCTGATTGAGACCACTGTGAGTCCACCAATTATTCTGTCCTAATTTAATTAAGGACTGAAAGAAATAGAATAAAATTAAAGGTACATGTGGCAAAGCCTGCCATGGTAGACTCATTATTGAACTTTGATAAATCAAAGATTCTTCTCTAAAATGAAAAAGTGGTCATTCTAATAAGACATCAATAAACTATGTGGAGAGAATAATTAATTCAGATAATGAAGATTAGGACTATTACCAATGTAAGGTATCTGCTGTTAAATGGGTAGATTACAATGGATGGTAAGAAGAAGGACGGCAGCAGGCAAAATTGGCATCACACCTCAAGCCTCAGCCTTCTGACTTTTTTTAGTATTTTCATTAATAGCTTTGTCATAAACTAAAGTATGATAGTTATACTAAGCAGGAAGACACTGTTATTACAGAAAAGGGCTGGAATACAACATGGAAGAAATTAGGTAATCTGAAGTAAATCCATACAGTAAAATCTCTAGTAATCAATAAGGACAGAGAAATTCTGGAGCAGCATCTCAGGACTGGAGATAGTAAACACCTACTTAATATAAAGATGCAGATGGTCAACCTGATAGGGGACGTGATAAGGAGGAGTTTGAAAACAACCTTGAAGTCAGTATTCTAGGAGTTTCTTTCAGTGATGTGCTCTTGAGATTACTTCAATAATCTTCATAATTGGAAGAGAAAACAGCAATTACTCGAGTGGTCTTTGCTTGTAACTTACTAAGCTTTTAACTTCCTAATGCAGCCAACATCCTGCTGTGAATTCTTTATGCCTGTTCAGAGGTCCCAAATTCCAGATAAATCTCAAGTACTGTACAGGTAGCTTCTTACATAACATGTCTTTTCAGTATCATGGGTTTTTTCCTCCATTAACTGGAAAATCTAATACTTTCCTAGTGCTGCAATAACATTTAAATCTCAGCAGATAACGTGGCACTGCTCTCTTCCCCAGCACTTTTATGCTCAAATATCCAGCAAAAGAGTGTTACAGTGAGTGTACCTATAGAGGAATGTACATTCACATTCTTTTTCTGGAGTGTCTTCCTTCAGCCAGTAGGAAGAGACACTGCTCTTTCCACTTTCTCTATTCATAGAGAAGATTCAGATTCATAGAGAAGATTCATAGGCGTATTCAGATTCTTGCAATTATTTGCAATACAGCTTTTAACAATGCTCAAAATTGTAGTTTGTCCCAAGTTACTGGACAAAAAGTTGGGTAAAATTTATACCCAAATCTTACATATAGGCAATCAACATAAAAAAAAAAAGGGTTTTCAGAAGTCATGTGAAAAGTCAATCCAGTTACTAGATTAAAAGCATCCAAATGCTGCAGGGAATGTGAATTCATTTTTTACTAAGTAGTATATAAAAATGCCTAGCAGTGAAAACCACAGCTGTAAAATTAATATTTTCAGCAAATTTTGCTTAAACCAATAATTCAACTACTGGAAGAGCTGCATGACTTTTCTCTCCAGATGTGACATATTTTTCACATGTATCATCTTTAACTGGTACTCAAGTACATAATAAATTTAAAATCACTAAAAGTAAGAAGAAGCTCATTTCTTACCTCGGGATGAAACTGCTGCTCTGTACGAGAATGACAGTATTGGCAGCTATCCCCACTTTCACACCTTGAAGGTTCACCCCATTCATCTGCATGTTTTACACTGGGGCAAGGAGTAGACCTAGAAACAAATGATGCCCAGAGCACGTTTCTATCTAATTCCTAGCAGAAGTCTCAAACAAATTCCCATTCCATCTGAGGAGCTTTGCTTCTGGGACCTACGAAGTTGTAAATTCTAGGAGAAAACTAGCCTTTTGCCTCTGACAGAAGGAGGAGCAAGTAGGATTCCAGCTTTCTTCTGTCTGGTGACATTTATGGACAGTCCTGAGACTGTCAAGCAAAACCCATCAATTCTAAAGCCTATAGCACAGCACGATGAAAACACCAAGTAAATGAAGAAACCAATGTTTCAGAATGACAGACTCTCTCTAAAACTAAGCGAAGAGATGCATTAAAGTTTGGTCCTAAAAGTACCGCTCAGAAAAAGAAAATCTGAGGAGTGAAAACAGGAGAAAGCCAGAAATTATAACTGGTCTTTTCCCAACACAGAAGGTATCCACCGGTGATTCTTGATTTTTCACTAAAAATTATAGCTTTCATTCTTCACAGAAAAAACAGAACATTTTTTACTACAATTTCATGTTTTTATTCTTCAGAAGTGACTGACCATTCTGAACAGATGAGTTTTTTTCCCCCACAATAAATAAATAAATGAATAAATAAATAGACAGACAAACAGCAAAGCCACTGGGAAAGAGATGTTTTTATTCCACTAGGAATACCCATAGCATAAGAGCCCAAACAAACTAGTCCACTAACAACTGTCTGACTGACAAAGACTGCACTGCAAATATTCATGTACCTGTATTTGAACGTCCTGGGATTCCGTCTCCTGTCGCGGCTGTTGTGGAAATGCGGACACGCGTAGCCCTGGCGGCACAGCCTGGGTGGCTTTGTGCACTGCTCTGTCTTGTAGCCAGCTAGCACAAAATTTGTGTCTGTAAACAGGTCAAAAATTCAGAGAAATAAGCAACTAGATTTTGTATTTCAAGCGCCTTGAGTTAGCTTAGGAATCACGCTGTTTTGTAAAAACAATGTTATGAGTCACAGACTCATCCATCCTTATAAACCTAGATACCTTCATGCAAAGAAATCTTCATCAAATTTATATTCTATAGCAACTGTATGATAAAGTACACAAGTACAGAACTACCAACCTTGGTAGAGAAACCATCCAGAAATTCTCACTGCATCTATTCAACATTTTGAAAATGAAAACCTTAAGCAATACTACTCATTTCAGTAAGACAAACACTGAAACCATTTCAAGTTCTATATCTACAGCTTTTCTTAAGTTTAGTGCTGACGCTCCTTATTTCACCAAAATTTCTTTCATGGTAAGGCATACTAAGACTAGCTACTAAAATCTTCCTGGACAAATTCTAGAGCCTCTTTTAGACTCCTGCCTCCTTATCTACATCTGGTGCCAGTAAGGAGGAATTAGGACATGAAAAAGAAGGTTCTGTCTAGAAACAGAAAAAGACAGAAAAACAACAGAGCAAGCAAACAAATTAGAAGGTAAAATTTGGCTAATTGTCAGCATGGAACAGCGAATTACACCAAACCAATCTAATTCCTTCCTAAGGTAGGAAAACGGTTCCAGGTATGACTGAAGCAATCACTATTACGTTTCTTGTCTTTAGCAAACCTGAGATGTTCACAAAAACACATACAGCAAAATTCCTACCAAATCTGTGGAAAACAAGCTGAAAAAGCATTCTCAAAGAGTAATTAATGGTGTACTCTAAATTAGCAAGGCTTACTGATCAGAATATCACACAGAGTCTGCAGTTCCTTCAGTCCTCTTCAATAGTTTAATTTAAAACTGAGGAAAACAAAGCTGAAATCACCAGCTGGATGATTATTTTCAGTCTCTGGCAATTATATGCAATCCCACCACATTTAGTAGGATGTAAAGAAGTCACACAGCATTATATAACGTAACACTTCAGCAATGCAAAGAATCCAACAAAAATGCTTGTAGTTGGTTAATTTTGCTGTATTTTCTTTATTTTTTACCTTCCTATACAAAAATATTCCAGTATTTTTCATCTAGAGCTGACAACAACAAGACTGTACATTTCAGTACTTACATGACTGGAATTCATCCTCTATCAGAATAAAAAAATATATACATAGCAGGGACAAATATCATAAGATTATCTTCCTTGAATTCCTTAGGGACAGTATCTTCATGGCACCTCTCCCTATCTTACTGTCCATGCATGAAATTTTGAAAGTGATTCTATCCTGCAATCTTTCCTATAGTAACATTTGGACAAGAGTTCTAATAATAGCAACTGACACTAACATCTGTGGCAGTGTAAGAAGCAAGTGAAAACCAAACTTGAAAGTCTTAAGAAAACCAAAACAATTGGTTTTAAGCAATCTCACATAGCGCTTTCAAGGCACTCACATCTGAATACTCTCCTCCAATTTTCTATTTAACATTTTACTTCATTCCTGCTAGTCAATCTCAGCAAAGAACAAAGATTTGTTAACTATTCGATTAACGACTCAAAAAACGAAGACTGATCATTATTATACTTAGCACAAGACAGAGCTCCTACTGACTTGCATGAATAGCTTCCCAACTGACAGAGATTAGCAGTACTTGTATTAAGCTGAGACATATTGAACAAAATATTCAAAACATTTTCAATTTACAGTCTCAATATAAATGACAGACTACCACAAAACTGCTCACAAATATTTATATTACTTATAGAAACTGTATTTTTACTCTATTACAAAAAAGACTTCAGAATATCTCCCAAGTTTAGACCCAAGATCAACAAATTGGACCAAACATCATCAAAGAAAAGGAGAAAGGAGACAGGGTAACATTACCCTGCCATCTTGGATCTTCACTAAGGATCTTCTCAATCATTGCTTGACTTGCTAAATTCCCTGGTTGCAGATCTGGAATGCCTTCACCACATCCTAGCTGCCCATTCTGTAAAGTTTCCTGCGCCTGAAGTTCTCTGGAATGGGGAAAGAAAATAACACTGCAAAACTGTATAGCTACAGTAACCCTAGCTGTCCTACAAAACATCTTCTCGTATTCCATCAACAAATTATCATTTAATCTAGATTCTAACAGATCTAAATTGGAATAAACAAGCAAGCAGACAGTCATAAGGAATAACCACATCAGACTAATCAAAGACTAATGTGAAGGAATTCTGGCGTTACGTACACAGCCAACGTTTGTACCAGCAGTGTAGCTCAGTGTGCTGATATGCTGACATTCTGTACATGTTATTCATTACTCATATTCTACATGACACGGTAGAAGTAAAAGAAATAACAGAAGTTACAGAAAGTGTGTTCAGCTCACTGTACCATTTCACAACAGAAGCATACCAGGACAACTGGGAGATCTAACAGCAAATTATAATCACTGGGTAGAGCATCTCTTCTGCAAATATTTGTTACTTTTTTTCAAGTAAGCAATGCAAGCTTGGTGAACAATCAGAATGAGCACTACCTAACTAAAACTTGTTGTATTAGTGCTAAGAAACCTCTATCAAAAACCCAAGATAATTTTATTACATGTGTTTTACAAAATCAAGCTGCAGTTTCAACAATGACAAATCAGTTACATGGATTTAAAAAAAAAAAAGAGAAAAAGAGAAAATACAGCATAACTGTATTAGGCAGACTTTGAAGCAATGTTGACACAAGATGAGGAACCAGTCACCAGAGGTTCTACAATAGTCAGTCTTCATGAGAATCAAAAGCCTCTACTGCTTCATCTAGGCACAGACAGTCCAGGAGCTTATCTGCTCTTCCAAAATACTCCTACTCCAAGAATCTCTGAAGAGGAACTTGATAGTTGACAATGGAAATAGTTATTATATAACTCACATATCATTTCAAGAACTTCCCTGCTCTGTAGTATCTCCCAAGAAAAAGAAACATGACTAACTCAATGACAAGACAGGAACCTTTTAAGCTATCAAAATAAATCTTTTACAGTCAAGGAATGCGCAGAAAGGAAAACAGATATTGTTCCCAAAGAATGCTTTTTCTTAAAGGTGGAGGTGAGAAGAACAAGGCTCTTAGGTGAAATAAAGTTAATACCTACATCAATGATTCTACTATGACTTCTTCACTCTTACAATGAAAACCCCCTAGTACTGGTGGACATACTAGAGCAAAACTATCACTAAACATTGTTTGGACTTCCTTTATGAATGCTAGATATTTGAAATCAGGAGATGCAATGGCACACGACTATTTTTCACAAACAACAAAGCTTAATTTAGGTTCAAGCTGTTAAAATACAGACTCCCATTATGAGCATCTTCAGCTCTGTATGCAGCCAGAAGATGCTTATGGCCCAGTGTAGGCCACAACCAAAACTCATTTGTGCCACTAACATGACTCACCAAGTACCTTCTTTTGACAGTAATTTGCTCAAGTGTTAGAGAGGTAGAAAATAATACTGATATTATATACATGAAAAGAAAAAAACAAGAATGGCAGAAAGCAAAATGCCAAAAATAAGCTCAGAACCCGAAAAATGGCGTAACAGTTATAAACTTATAAATGTAAAAATCACATACAAATTTACAAGGCATACATGACAAAGGATAGAACAACTGGTCTTTCATTAGTGCTAAGAATTACATATATGGATCTTCAAACAGCAAGTTCCAAAATGTTAACGTTTGCATTTCCTAGCATGCTTACACCTGCTATCTTGATGCACAGTAAAATGCATTCTTATGTTCTGTAGCTACAGATGAAATCACGTTTTTCACGCAAAGCACGCTACATTGCCTGGTGTGCAGCTGTAACAGACATGGCTTTTCCTGCTGAACAGGCTGCAGAATTGGAAATACAGACTACCTGATGTCATATACTGGAGGTCTAAGGTCATGCGGCCCATGAGCAAAGGCACAGTGAATCCCATTCTTCACGCAGTGACCCCGGGCATCTGTTTCATGAATGCATGTTCCAGTCTTGTAATATCTGAGATGGTATTTCCTTTCTGTATCTCCTGTTGTTCGATGTAGGTAAGGGCAACTATATCACAGAAAGAGGAAAGTTTAGGCTTTGCTTTATGTTTAAACATTCAACTCTGAATTCTGCTCTCTCTAACTCGTAACAAACAACTTTGCAGGATTCACAAACAAATCTGACATGTCAGCTTAACAATGAAAAGTGTTCATCTACTTCATAGTCTCCACTAAAATTACAAGAGTCCATACTAGGCTAGCTTACAAAGATATTCTTAACAAATACAGCAAACACCCTGTAAGAAAGCAACTCCTGAACTGAGAAATGTCATTGTCCATATTGGTACAAGCTTAAGGCACTTCCTCACTATAAGAGAATTGTTAACTGTTTTTTTCTTTTTGTTTTTTAAATGCTACAGTTACCTACAATAAAGGGGTACTTGAGATACCATGTTTTGTTCTGCCTGATCCTTATAGGCACAGAACCTCTTGAACAGCAAACTGAAACTGCCTGAAAGCAAACTTAAATTGACTTCTCTACAAAAAGCAAGAGAAAAATTCCTGTATCAGCAATAAATCTTTGTAGGTATACTAACCATTTTCAAGACACAACTTGAAACTCTGTGAGGCCTGGTCTGTATTCTAAGTCATTAACATCATGTATGGATTATAATTCTATCAGTTGTAAACAAATGGGGAAAAAAATGCATATGCAGATGTGTCTGTTCTCCCCAAGTTTACTTCAGTGTAATTCATTTCAGTCACTGCTGGGTTTGAAAAAATATTTCTCTCCAAAAATTACTTTCTCCCATCCTAAAGTAAAAAGAAACTACATGAAAAAACTTGGGGTGTGGTACAGAACAACAAATGGAAAACCCCACAGAAATATGTTCTTGTAGACAGAAGGAGAATGACGAAGTACTAAGCAGAGTTTAGCATTCATAAGGACTGACGTTGACCTAAGCTTTGCTATGTTCTAAGAAGACTACTTAGAAAACAGATTAAGCAATTTACTTGCAAAATTTACAATTCTATTTATATACTAAAATCGAAACATTAATTTTTGTCTATCCTGCTAAGATACCTGTAGCTTGAACTGATTTCCAAGAATTGATGCTTCTTATGATTTCTAAGATGCAAGTTTGTTTCTTTTAGAAATTTTAAAACACTCAATCAAGATAAATGGTGTATGGGAACTTCTAAGTTACAGCTGAACTACTGATTGAGCACCTGGAAGAAAAGACCCAGTCAGCCCTGGGAGCACAGGTGGAAGCAATTCAACCTGTGCAATTGGAAGACCTGAAGGCCTCAATTAAGGGCTGACTGCCCACACAGAAGAATCTCTTGCTGGAGATCCCTCCTTTGTGGGGTTTTTCCATCAGCCTACATCTTTAGAGACCGGAGAACATTCCTCTCTTGGTGACATCTTCTCAATGCATTGGTCCTGCTGCTGTTACAAATGGGTTGCAGCCATAGAGTTTACTTACACTTCTTTAAATCCCACCAGAATTAATTAGTGAGAAGACTAAGTACACCAAATTCAGTGCTACACCTCATTCTTCCAGTGTAAGACAAAACACAACCAACAATCAAGATCTGGAAGTAGTTCATTCACACTCCCTGGTTCTGTGTGAAAAGACAGATGGGATGCAATTTTTGTTGGAGCATTTTGGTGACTCAGCTGAACTTCATAAGAAATGCCTCGTGCTCTATGATCAGCACTGTGCAGCCTTCCCATTCTGCTACAATTGCTACTGATACAGAAAAATGAGAAACCCCTTTGGGCTGGCAGAAGTATCAGACAGACTCTAGTCTTGTACTGAACTTGAAACAAATGAAATTGCAATCTGAAATCGTGTTACTACTGCTAGCTGTCCCACCACTAGCAGAATTTGTGCAGGAGTTAAGTGGGAAAACATACTAGCAGATTGTTCATTACAAATCACAACATACGCACACCACACAGGTAAGAATATTGTCTCAGTCTTATGCTTAATGCTCACTCCTCCATATTCATCTGTTTAATTTTGCTGGTTCCTGTTGAAAACAAGAAGTAAATGTCTCCCAGCCCGAAACGTACGGGTTCACAACTCACTGCTCATCTCTGTGTCAGTGGCCCCTCAGTGGATGGCAAGCACTTTTGCTTAGATATCTGGGCTTTTTCCCTAGAGAAATTACCAATCAGAAGATGTCTCATAAAATGTTAAAGCCTCCAATTACATTCAAATGACTGCTTAAAGACAATTAAGGAATTCAGATATTTTGTCAGACAAAACACAGCTCCTTGCATGCACAGTGAGAGGGAGAAATACTCAAGTCACAACTTTTCCCACATAAAGGCAAAACAGATTCCAAAAACAAGCTGATAAAGAAATATGAGCTCTCTCAAGAGTCTTATGTTTTCTTTGGCCTAAGATTTAATATTTATGCCATCTACAACTACACCAAAAGATTGCATGAGCTTTCATCTCACTTCTCAGCTCTTGAAGCATCCCCTTATTTGCTTCTCCCAGTGCAATCTTGCTCAGCTAACATTCTTTTAAAAGACTGCTTTCTTTTTCTTCCTTTAGTACCACTATCATTCAATAATGAAAAGTTAATTTTTGTCCCCAGTCAACAAAATGACATGAGCGTCCATTATCCTCTTGTTGATATTCAAACGAGAAACTGCTCATGTTCATGCTCACACCTGAACAGGTACGTAACTGTTCTCTTTTAAATCATCCCCAAAGACATTTTTTGCTTTTTGTTTTGCTTGGGCACAGTTCTAAATACTGTCATGCTGCCTATTACTTCTTTGTTGTTTACTTTCACTTGCCACCTGTTGTTTAGTTTGTAATTCCTGGGGAAAAATTCCACCTTTTTTTCTTCTGTGACTACAGCCTGGAACACAAAAGATATCTGATCCGTGATGAGAGCTGCTAAACACTGCAATAACCAAATTAACTGTCTTCACATGTTAAAACACGTGAGCAGCATAACTCTCTATTTCCCGTCTGTTTCTCTGTTTTGATTTTTTTTTCCTGTCAGAAGTCTTTCCTTGCTTCCATCATTACAGATGAAGCTAGTTCCTCTATGTTATACGACCACAATATATCCAGCTCCTCTAGACATGCCTGCCTGCCATGCCTGCCTATTTGCTCACTCTTATCTCTGCAAAGCTTCACCCCCTCCCCATGACTCCTGTGGCCTTTATCCAGAAGAGAATGTGTCCATGGAAAAGCAAACCTTAATGGTCAACTCAGACCAGGCTGCCCAGAACCACATCCAGCCTGGCCTTGAATGCCTCCAGAGATGGGGCATCCACAACCTCCTTGGGCAACCTGTTCCAGTGCAGCAACACCTTCTGTGTGAAAAACTTCCTCTTTCCCTCTCTGCAGAGCCATCACAAAACAGTCCTTCTCCTTTACAGTCCATCAGTCCCTACACAACGCAGTTTGCACATACAATTTCAAAACTGTCAGGAGAAAAAACACAACACAGTAGCCAAAAAATGTTCAGGGACAACAGGAACAATACTAGGAGAAAATAAACTTCTTACATTCTGCTTTCAAAAAGGTTACAAAACAATAAGATAGCTCTAACTCCATGACAGCCTAAAGAACACGTGCTTACATAAAAGCATACATACCAAAAACTCACAAATCACTCACAACAAGTTCTCTCAGTCAAACTGCAGGATCCTATCAATCATTTTTTGTAAGAAAAAATTAACAGCTTTCTGTAAAGCCATTAATACTATAAAGTCCTAGGGACTGAAAGAAATCACTTACTCATCTCCATCTGGGCAGATTCCTGTAGTCTCATCATATTTTGTACAATAAACATCGGGACTGTAGTTAAAAGTTCCATCACGCCTTCGTATAGGTCTACGACGACGCTGATTTAGGAAATGCCAATGAAAACAGGTAAATGGTCTGTGCTGGGTACACTTGTGCTGCAAAAATAGAGGGCACTGCTCTGTCCTAAATTCCTTTAGATACCTAAAAAAATTAAACTGTGTTACAAGTTTATCTTATCGGAGGCACATCTTTACAGTACTAACAGGGCATTGGACAATTCAGTGCATTTAGCCCATAAATATTTTACAAATGTACCTGCACACTGTTATAGCTTCTATGTGTAATTAACCATTTAACAGCTGAATGAATACTTCTGAATGAGTGATTTCATTTCTGATGACAGATGTGTTACAAATAAAATACTGGCACATTATTCTACATCATGTAATTGAGCTAAAAATCAAATAAATAAATTTAAAAAAACGCAGCATTCAGAATTTTGCCCTAAGTAACCACTACACAGATCATAAATCCATCAAGTACCTGAATAAGCATTCATATGGCTTGCTGTCACACAACAATAAAGGCTGTTTTAGCTAAAAAGCACTCCTAGCTTAACTGGGCACTTAATCACAATAATCCCCAGAATGTGGGCACTCTATACAGAAAGCTAGAGGACTGAAAGTAGTTTAAGAAGGTTAGCAGGAGCCACGAGAGGGGCTGCAGCAAGCTTATTTTAGGGAGTGTTAGGTTTGCATTGGGACAATCTAAATGTCTCTCTGAAGATTATTTAGGAGTAGAATCATAGAATTGTTTGAGTTGAAAGTGGCCCTTATAGGTCATCTAGTCCAACTCTCCTGCAATGAATACGGACGTCCACAGCTGGATCAGGTTGACAGAATCATAGAATCAAAGCAAGTAGGACAGCCCTTCATGGTCACCTCGAGCACAAAAGCTATTTAGGGAGTCTGAGCCTTTCCATTGCATATCACGATCACACCAGACTGGGCATTACTGTATTATTTGTCAAAGGATGCAAGACAGCACTCCTTCCCATATCAGTTTATATATCCATTGGCCAGCTGAACAAAAGCATTACATCTCTAAGGTTACAGAGTACTTGCATTGGAAGGAGTGCTTGGGGACTTCACAGAACCTCGGATTTCCCAGAGGTCTCAAGAAAGGTACAGCACGTCTACCAGGTACAGGGGTCTGAAGGCATCGGGCAGGGAAAGGGCTGGAGAGAATAAAGGGATCTCTAAGCTCTCAGCCGCTCAGACAGCACGGAGGATGTAACGGCACAGAGCTACAAGGTGCGTCTTTCAGTTCTGCGTTCTTTAAACTGATATGGACTGTGGGAGAAGAACGGGAACAGAACTTTTAGATGTCCAAAGCCGGGCTGCATAGCAGGATCCAGACTGCAAGTGCTGGGAACGGGACACGACGGCACTCGGATCCACGTTAGGCGGCTTCTGCGAGCAGTGCAGGTTCTACACGAGCGGGACGCCAACGCCGCCACACCGGCGTCCCGCGCCTCCACCCGGCCGACACGCAGCCGGGCCTCCTCACCGCGGCGGCCGGAGCCGGGAAAGAAGCGGAGCGAGGCCGCCGCTCAGCCCCGCCGGCGGAGCAGGAGGCCGCGCGTATCAGGCCTGGCGCTCGGCCGGGCCCTCCGCCTCTGAGCCCGGAGCCCTCCCCGCGCAGCGCCGGGCTCCGCGAAGCAGGCCGCCTCTAGAACGCGGTACCTACGTATAATGCGTCGGCTGCTCGGTCTGCGGGGTCCCGCCAGACCCTCCGCCCCGCGACACCGCTTTCGAAACGGACGGCATCGTCCCCAGCGGCCGGCAGGGCGCGTGCGCGGCCCGCCCCGCTCCTCCCCTCAGCGGGCGGCCCCGCCTCGTCCCGCCCTGCGAGCGGTGCGCGCGCAACTGCACGGGCTGCGGCGCGAAGCTCACGGCGGCGACAGCGCGGCTCCTTCAGCCGGCAGCCCGGCGTTTTTCACTTCCCAAACAGCTGAAAAGCTTCGCTTGAAGTCACCTACCGCATCGCACGCGCAAAAACAGGACGCTTTACTGCCTTTGAGAAAGCAGTGCTTGCTAGCCCTATGCTCCGTTACTCGGCGTTACCCCCTGCTGCCCTGTTGTGGGGATGTGTTTGATTTTTAATGAAGAGCTTCAATCGCACAGAAGTTTTGTATCTTTACAGAGGAAAGCCTAAAATAAATAAATAAATAAATAAATATACACCTAACTTGAAAGAGAATTAAGTCACACCAATGTGTTCTTCCTCTCCCAGGCAAGTCTCCAGAGTATCTGCAAATGTAGATAAAAATTAGATACTAAGCTGGCTGTGAAATAAGGAGCTCCCTCCCCTCTCTGACGCAGATCAATCACTTACAGTTTCTGCAAAATTCCCACCTAAGCACTGACCAGTTTAGTTAGGCATGTCAAACACGTTATGCTGCAGAAAACCAGCACTAACTGTGCATTAAGTAAATCCTGCATTGTTTGGTAGAATTACAAAGTAATCTAAACATTAATCCATCATACATTAATACAGGTGTCCTCAATATGATGTGAATGCACTCCATGCACTCCGCACTAGCAGAGTGCCAGCTGAAGGTCACCTTCAGCAACCAAATTACAGACATACAGCTCTGATATTTTAATATGCTGTGCAACCAAGAGAAAAAAAAAAAAACATCCATGGAAAAAACCGAGTTGAACACAACATATCTACAAATACATGCTAGTTTGCAATACATCCTGTCCATCCCTGCCATGCAATGCAGAAAAGGACTATTCATTCTGCTATTGCTGTAAGTTGATAAGTGAAGACAAACAAAAAGCAGCAAGATAAATAAATCCTGTTTGCAAGATAAGGCTGGTGGTAGGACAGAAAAAACATTTTCCAAATCAAGTGCGGGAGCAGCCTTTAAGCAGCTGAACTTTTGGCAGCTCCTTCACCACAGGTGTGCTCATCATCTCTCCTTCTGTATCTGTGAAGGAGCATCGCTTTGTTGTGCCGCGTCTAAAGGGTCCACGATCTGACCAGATAACAGGGCTTCCAGTTGCTCGTCAATCTCCGTTTTTTCCCTAAACGCACACCACAGCAACAGCCCGCTGCACAGCAGGATGAGGGGCAGCACCTTCACCCACGGCCTCTGGTAATCACTCCCCATAGACTGGCTGACGCTCCACACCCGCGGGCTGGCCTTGCTGGAAGAGAAGGGGATGGGTCCCTCGCTCTCTGGATCCGCTTTAGCTGCGCCCTCGGTGCCACGCCGTCCCGCCAGCCACCTACGGGGGCCGGGCAGGAGCAAGACGCACCGCGCCCTGCAAAGACACGCGAGTCAGAGGTGCGGGACTGTCGGCTCCCGGGTCCCAGCGCCCAGCGCCCAGCCGTCCGCCTCACCGCCAGCCGCCCCGCGCCCAGCTCATTCCTCCGCTCTCCTCCCCGCGCCGCCCGGAAGCGGAAGTGCGACCTCAGCGCTGCAAGCGGCGACCATGCACGAGCCGGCCGCAGGGGGGCGCTCGAGCGCTGCTGAGATGCGGCGGCCGGAAGCGGGAGGCGCGCAGGGTGCAGCCAGCTTCCGCAAGAGCTTCCACACGTTGAGGGAGCACAGTCCTCTTTATTCCGTTACAGAGAACTGCCGCGTATGCACACAACTACTCTTCTTAACAATCGAGTGTTCTCTGCGCAGCTCTCCAGCTCCTAAGCAGCAGTCACCTTATCCACAGATCACACCAGCCTCTGAGCAGAGCTGGATGCGTGCTGTGCGTTATTTATTCATTCCTTTCACTGAAGTCTGATAAGAAACCTCTCGGTTTAGCATACAGGTGAAGTAACACGTTCTGAATACTGCCCAATACCTTTTGTACAACACCTCAGAGCAGTGCCCGGGGCTGTTTTGTATTTACACTGCCTCTTAGCACGCTTGATTAAAGAAAATAACAAAGCTGAGAACGGAGATACAATCTGTAAACCTTGGCTCCACAGCAGTCTCAAATTGCTCTCATCAGTGTTTACAGAAACTTGCCGGCTGGTGTCAGTAGATGGCACTGACATTCCGCTGTTCCCTTTGCTTTAGGGCGGAAATTGAGGAAGTCAAGAATATCCACAAGAGTTAAATCATCACAGTGTCACGATACACAGTCAACTTGCTTGACATTCTGTATCAAACTGCTGTTTACTATGCAAGTTCTTTCGCACAGCGTCACTCTAAATCCCTGCATCACCATGCAGACGTTCAGCATTCGTTGACCCGTTAAGCACAGTTGTCTCTGCAGTCGCCCATTTGTGATTTACACGTTCAACACTGGTGTTTTCAGCTGTGACATTCAGTTAAAGACAGAAGTTATTACCACATTTAAACACAAGTATTCTTGTCACAGAATTCATTGAATAATTTTGAAATAAGTCAGCTTGAGTAAGCCACGAGTTCTTTTGATAAGAGTTCTAATCTGCAATAATTAAATGAGCTACCATACAGGCTGGCAGAAATACTGCATGAGTTAAACAGGTAAAACATGTGAATAACACATTTTACAAAGATTTTCCTAGAAGAAGTCTACAAGTTAAAAGAAACTTCCTCAAAACAGGAAGAAGTTAGCTATGTCGCTCAAAAGCTTGTTGGTTTCTTGAGGTGCCAATTCTTAGCATGCAAGCTATACATATATTCAGGGAAATATATGTATATATTCAGACAAACAGCTCGTGTAATAATGAGCATGATGGATTAGAAGGAATGGAGGAAAAAAAAAGTCTGAAATTAATCCAGATAAACTTTGCTACTTCATAGCCAGCATCCAACAGCCATTCTTTCTCAGAACTGTATGAGACACTTATCTAACAGAAATCAAACAGAGGAGGAGAGGTGACTAAGGAAGAATGAAAGCAATTCAAACAGATACAGAAAACATTTCAAGTGCTCCTGAAGAAGCCCTTGTGGCTGATTATTCATAAAGCAAGGTTATATAAAATATTCTTATGAGCTTTAACACAGATTTTCTTTGTCACATGAAGTACTGGGGACAAACTTTAATTATGATAACAGCAGTATTTTTTTTTTTTCTTAAACAAAGCTCAAATGTCATGTAATCAAGAGACTTCCTGGGAGCAAAAGAAGTCTCCTGTGTGCAGGAATCGAGACCTGCATGCATGACGACTTAATTCAAGTAGCCAAAAACAATACATATAATGTATATATATCTAATAGTATACTCATTCTAAATAGAAAATAGTGGGAAAAAATGACAAAAAAAAACTCACCAGAACTTCCTTTGTATGCAATATTGTGCTGACTTAATAAATCCTTAAGGACTTTTATTTCTTCGGAAAGTTTCTTGTATTCCTAAGAAAGGAAAATACAGAAAGGTGCTCTCACTCTCCAAAGATATAAAACAACATGGAGATTATGTTATGAATCATACAGTAAAAAGGTGGCAATTTAATTTCACATTATAAATATTATACTCTCTACCTTATTGCACATATCCACTGTTTCAAACTGCAGACTTGTTTTCGTATTCTGTTTCTCAGCTTCCTTTTCTTCTGTTGCTTTCAGAAGTCCTGCTTCCTCAAAAATCTCTTTCAGTAATTTTTTGTATCCCTACAAAAGATTCTAAGGTTATTGTAAATAAATCTACCTAATACTCATCTCCCTGTACCTTGCCCTAGTTCCCCAAGCTTCACTGTAAAAAAAAATTAAAAAATAAAAAATGACAATTAACTGTTGATATATAAACAATCACAGAGCACAAGAAGTGCTATTTGCCAATGGCAAAATAAATGCATCTGTTCAAAGAGGAAAAACTACAGAAGCCAATCAGACAACAAATAGAGTTCATAAACATTAACAAACCTGCTCAGTTATTAGTTGATCATACAGAGACTGCTCTGCTTCATCCCATTTCCTTTGTAGTGCTTCAGTCAGAGTTGGATAAACTGAAAAATGAAAGGCAAACTGTGTCTTCTATTAGTTAAAGGTTTTTCTGGTAGCACACATGCAGCTTTCAAGAATTGGCTTTAAACTTCAGTTCCAATTCACTGACTTAATGTTTCTGGAGAATGCCACCAACCAAGTTCATCTCATTTCCGACTAGCAGGTCCCACATTTCTTTGTCAGAAGTATTTTTTTTAATGTATATAAATGAACAGATATTGTAGGGTTGATTCCTATGGCTAGTCCAAGAAAACAGCAAATATCAGTCAATGGTTCTCTATTAGCAATGACTATTTAATTGAAAAAGATGTATCTGCTATAATGACTGGTATTTAAATACACTTAGCATTATGTATTACATGTAATTCTCTTTGAAATCAACTTACAAACTTAAAAGACCTAAAAACATGCTCTGAAATTGGTGTAATAAGCCTTCTTATTACACCAATAATCTAGGTTCTTCATGCAGAAATGGCTTCCTAAATCTTACCCAAAAGAGAGTGGGGATGGCACACAAGAGGAGTCTCGAATGTGAGGGAGTAGACACAAGTACTTGGCTCAGATACATAAGCCAATTTATTGCTCTTTCCACAAACAAGATGGACCTAAACATCAGTAGAAACAAAGGTGAATGAAACACCTCCACATAAGCAGGTGACAATTAATTTCCTGTCTTCTAAGGCTAACAGAGGAATTTCTATGCAGACTTGTCTCAAAGCTTCCACTGCCTTCACCAATTGAAAGGAAATCATAGCTAACACATCTTAGAAATTGAGTTACTTTCTCAAACACATGAAAATGCCTTCCTGTAAAGGGAAACGATCCCCATCTACCAATTTCCTCTGGTTTCCCAAGCAGCACAGATCTGGAAGGAATGAGAGTAAACTGGAGGGTAAATAGGACCCTCCGTAGAACCCTCTCCAACAAAAGCAGAATTCATTTAGAAAATCTTAGTTCTGACTATGGTGCTAGATGTCAGGCTCCTCTTTTTACTGTTACAGAGAACAAAAGTCACTATAAAAGTGTTCTTTTAGATCTTTAGACTTTTGGCACCAGTCTGTTCAAAACTAAATGCCAGTGAAAGATCTGAATAACAATATTTGAAGACACACAAGTAACTCCTTCTGTAGTCCTAATGGGAAATAAACATGTATACAAGGCACCTCAATCACAGCAAAAAACATTTTAACCTTGGCTAAGACATTCTGCCTCTTATCTCTACCCACTCTCTCCAATCACAGATACCTCTCTCAAATATTGTGTTGTCAATCATCACTGTAATATCTAAGCACCTTCCACAAGAAATCGAGCCCGTTTCAAACTCTACAGTTTGACAGTAGAGTCAAGACAGTCATCCTTCATGACAGCCATCTACGCCACCAGGAAATATGAGGCTTAAATGAAATGTGAGGATTAATTAACTGTATCCTTGTAATTGTAAAACACACTGAAATGGAAAGCGGAAAAGAAAAACTTTGATGAATAAAATGACCAAGGACTTGCACAAATCGCGTGCTGCACACTGAACAAGTCTCAAAGATCCTTCTAGCTGAATGGTTTTTTGGCACAAAGTCTTTGAAAGTGAAAAGGAACATTTTAAATGCTTGACAAAACAGGAATTTTTACTTTTTTCTTCAAATTGCACTCAGACCACAGTCTGTTTCTCGTTAGTTGGTTTCTCTGGCAGAAGCCATTCTATTGCCACTTATTTTATTCCTTCCTTAATTCTCCCTGCATGCTTTCTGAACCTGGCTTGCGTAGCTTCTTGGCACACCGTTGTTAACTGCCTAATTCTGTTCCTTCCTTTTTGCTGGATGTTCTTAAGCACAACAGACAGCAGTTTGAATCAAAAAGATTTTTTTTAATTTATTTTTCCTGACACAAACTGTAAAGCACTGCATGTCTCCAGCAGTGGTGATGATAACAGAGTTTTACACTCAATCATGGAAAAATAAAAAAGAGAGTTAAGTCTCCAACAAGAGTACCTAAGTAAACTCAGTATGTAATATCAGAATAAAATTCTGACTAATTCCATCCACTCACCAACCTGCCACAGAAATCCATCTTTGTTTTACATTATACCTTAAATCATGAACTCTTCAAGGTTGGGATGTTTCAGCTTGTAGAGTGACAAAATTGTCTGCAGTCAACATGCCTAGATTAGCATAATGTAGGTATTTTGTTATTATACCTTTGTCTGTCTGCTCTTGGTTTCACATGAGTCTCCTTCCCTCATCCACATTCCAACAAACGTGTTGTTGTCAATTTCCCATTCGTGCCAGATTCTAGAAAAACAAAACCTCACTTTATGTTTCTGATAAGGAAAACATGGAAATTCAGGAAGAAATGTAGGAATAGCCTTACATTGTGTTAAAATTAATTGCATATGCCTCATCTGCCTTGCTTCATTATTTCCATTTCTTATAGCCAAGACCTTACAAACCCTGGAATTTGTTACCCAAGCTGCTATGCAGGCCATACCAACACTACTTTGAGAGCAGTTCTGAATCACCTTTCGGTTTGCAAAGTATTTGTGCTTACAAGCCTTGTTTAAGGTCAACAGAATAGTTTGCAGATCAATCCTGCAACAAACACATCATGCTATCTTAGCACTGAGTGCAACTCTGTTTGCCTGTAGGACTTTTAGTGCTGGTGAAACAGCTACAATTGGTCTCTACACTGCTAGTCATAAGCTCAGTGATTTGATGCACACTTTTCATCTCATGCTGGTTTACTGACTGCTGTGCACAGAGGTACATTTTGGCACTCAGAGAAGTTGCTGATGCCCCATCTGAGGAACTGACACAACAAAGAGAAAACTGTTAACATGAAACTTCTGTTAATATAAGCATGAATTACACACTGCTGGATTTCTCACACGAATGTATCAGCCTTTCAACTCAGCACAGGTTATTAATAATCCAGCTAAAAACAGGACATTGTTTTTTATCTAAAAAATAAAAAAAAAAATCGAAGTATTTCAAGATGATTTACTTCTATGCACAGCACCTGCAGTCCTACAGTGTTCTGATAGAAGAAACAATTTTAAAACTGCCTTCTTTTTGAAAATCTATAGAACAGTCTATTAACAACACAGATAAAACATAAGAGGTCTAAAAGCCTCACCCTAAAATCCCACTGTAGGCATTCCATCGAAAAGTCTGCTCATGCTGAGTGACATTATGGAAAGGACAGAACTCGTACTTATATCTTTGGGAGAAAAGGGAAAAAGAATAAATATTTCAGGTGGGAATTAAGAACTGGTTTGTTCCTAATAGAAATATATGATCAAATATCCAAAGTTGTTACTCACGTGGATTCCACAAAACTGAAACACTTGCCAGCAAGCCTAAAGAGATGCACAGGGCCTAAAAACACCACAAAACATCATCAAGGAAGAATAATGCTTTGGGTTAAATTCCAGCAAGTTATTGTGGTGACAAAACTGTACAGAATAGGACAAATTCTTATGCTGTGCATAAAGAAATCTGTGTTTTCCATCTGAATTACCCTAAGTACCCTCTACTGCTATATTGGTTTACTTCACAAGCTTTAACATATTTTACCTTCAACACTCAGTGAAAGATTTTAGCCTCTCCCTACAGCAGAAACAAGAAGCCTGTATACAAAGAAATATCTGGACAGCAGATCCATGAAAGGTAACGCAGACATTACCTAAATAACAAAAACTGAAGCCAGTAAAACTACTGACAGCTGTCTCCATTCTCAGTCATCTGAACTCCTCACCCACAGAGCCCTTTTGCTCAGAACAGTGACCAATATTGAGGTCCCACTGAGATTCTCAAACTGGTCATTCCTCATCACGGTTGGCTCTCACAATCTGATCTGAGTAATGTTCAGCAGCATAAACCTGTCAAACAGCTCAGCAGTAACAACACTCCTGTAGAACTGCTGCCAAAGAGATTCAGTACAGGTAAGTTGTCATTCAAAAAAAAGGCCCAAAGTTCTGAAATACGTGTTTACAGGAGCTATTTCAAAGTCACTTGTTTAAGCTAATTTTGCAAGGAATGATAAAATATTTCTGTGGGAAGCGCAAGAGAATGGACTACAAAAGCAGATAAAGTGCATCTTGGATTCCAACCCTACAACTACCAGGACAGGACTCTGTCTAATTCTTACCTAGGATCTACAAAAGTGTTCCTAGAAGCGAAGATCAGAACACCAGAATCTTGCCCCAGAATGCCCTAAGCACTGGGATATAGGCAAGTTCTCCTTCCCATTTTCATTTTCATGACCTTATGATCTTGCATCTGCTCTACAGTCAACACTGCTTGCACAGTCTTGGCCAGAAGGCTGGCATCTCTACAAAATGTGATCTGCGTCTCAACAAGCAGGATCCTCTCACTCCTTAACAACAAAATTGGATTTTCATGTATCTGAGGAATGCCTTACACTCACATGTCTGTTTCCTGAATGCATGTTCCAGAAGTGTAATTACAGTTACTATTACACTGACTGTCTTGTGAATTAAAAAGTGCCAGTTTTCCATGGCAATGAAATAACTGTGCAAGGGAAGGCTCCGCACCACAGATTACAGTTTCCAAAATTACTCCCAATTTTAGACTACATTTAAGTTCCCATATCCAGAAAAAGAAGTATGTTATTGCATTGCTAACTTTCTTCCTGATCCCTTTGGCATCTTTCAGTTCAGCATTCTCCCTATTATTAATTCCATTTCTAATTCCTTCCCTTCACACGCTGTATATACAGAATATGTGCATTTGATTTGGTTTCATAGAACATCCCACAAGTAAGTAAACCCCATTTGGTGTCACCATACCAAAATCCCTTTGGTGAACTTGAACTTTTAAGGAGGCTTAGGTTTGTGCTTATGGTTAGGAGGCAAATGTTAAAAACATAATCAATTTCCTGTTATTTCCTATTACTTAGTCTTTGTGCTCAGTGTATGTTGACTCACTTTCTCCCACAGAATCTAGAAAATACTAAATTCCTGTTTGTTTTGCTAGTGTTGGATTTATACTGCAGCTTTGAGCCTCTGTGACTTGTTCCAAGACTTGCCTTAGAAATTCTTTAAACCAACAAGTATTAAAAACTCAAATCAGATGGCAGGATGGCTTTTATGTGACAATCTCAAGGATACCGAGCAATTGTTTCAAGCAAAAAAAAGATCTTTATTAATAAAGATCAGAAGTTCTGTGACTGGCTCAAACAATACAGAAAAAAATATAAGGAGAGCACCATGACTGAAGCAGTCTAAACAACAGTGGGTCCTGGAACACCCAGAATTTAAGCTATTCTTCAGAATTTACAAAAAATATTTGGCCCTGTCTATTTCCCATGATGGCCACAAAATGACAAATAAAATTAGTATTTGCCTGCACGTATCTGAAGGAGATTGTACTACAAACAATTGTCAGAAAATGATGAAAGCTGTACAAAAAGGTAATGCTTACACATACCTGATATTGGTGAAGGGGGCATCTTTGGCTGCAGTCGATTAGTTTGAGGCAAGAAGGGGTTATTCAACCTTTAGAAAGAACAAAAGTTAAAGACCGAGTTACGCTCCTAGTTGTTACCACCCCCTCCGCTATCAGAGAATGGCTTAAATTGGAGAAGAACTTAAGATCATCTGGTTCCAACTCCCTGCTGTGGGTTGGCTGCCCCACATCAGATCAGGTTGCCCACAACCCCATCCAGCCTGGCCTTGAGCACTGCCAGGGATGGGGCATCTACAGTTCTCTGGGCAACCAGTGCCAGGGCCTCACCACTCTCTGAATAAGAAGTTGTTCCTTACATCTAACCTAAATCTCTCCTCTTTTAGTTTAAAGCCATTCCTCCGTGTCCTATCACAATCAGACCATGTAAAAAGCTGGTCCCCCTGACCCCCTCCTGTTTGTAAGCTCCATTCAAGTACTGGAAGGCCCCCATTAGGTCTCCCCGCAGCCCTGTCTTCTCCAAGCTAAACAAGCCCAAATCTTTCACCCTGTCATCAGAGGTGCTCCAGCCCACTGATCACCTCTGGACCAACTCCAAAACTCCACATCTTTCCTGTGCTGGAGGCCCCAGGTCTGGACGTGGTACTGCAGGTGGGGCCTCACGAAGGCAAAGCAGAGAAGGACAACCCCACTCCTCTGCCTGCTGCCACTCCTGTTGACGCAAGCCCTACTTTCCTTCCATCAGGATCCTTAATTCCTTCCTCGCGGGCTTGCCTGAGCAGCCCCAGACTTACAGCCACGGGCAGCGGGCCCACAGCAGCACCGCCCCAGCTAGGGCAGTCAGTCTCGCCCTGCTCCAGAGGAACGACCAGGCTGCGGCGCAGGGAGCGGCACAACTCGAGGCCGCCCGGTGCGGACGGGCCGCGGACACGACGAGCACCAGCTACCTACCCGAACGTGTTCGGTTCCTCCACGATCTTCATCTTGCCCGCCGATGCGAGGAGACCTGCCGAGCAGAGAAGAGTTAGCGGACGGGTGGAGGAGGGGAGGGACAAACCAGCAGCGCTCACACGCTCACCCAACGCAGCGCCCACAGACGCCACCAGCAGCAGCCGGGCGGCCGCCATTACCACTTCCGCCGGAAGCGGAAGTGCGCGCCGGGGCCATCGGGGCCGCTCCGCCCGAGCGCGGGGCCATGAAGCGTGGGGCCATGAGGCGCGGCGGTCCGAGGCGCGGCAGGCGCGTGCCGCCGTCCGCCGGTGCCTCAGCCTCGCGGCGCGACCCTCACAGCCTCGACGCCTTCGCTGCGGAAACGGAGGCCGCGCTGAGAGGTGTGGGAAGCGCTCCGCGGAGCCTGACAGAAGCGAGGCGCTCCCCGCTAATGCGTGCCTGCTGTTTTCAGCTTGTTTGGAGGGAGAGCGGGGCGCCGAGGAGTGCGGCCCGGAGGCGAAGATTCCGTGTCCTCTTGCCATGTGGGAGCTCGGACACTGCGATCCTAAGAGATGCACCGGGAGGAAACTGGCCCGAAAAGGGCTGCTCCGAAACCTGCGCCTCAGCCAGAGGTTCCCCGGCGTCGTTCTCAGCCCTCTGGCCGCCGTCTGCGTCTCTCCCGCCGACAGGTAGGCGATGCGGTGCGACGTCTGCGCGCCTCGTGTCAGCTGGGGGAGAGCGTTCTAATCATCGATTGCGGCCGAAACTGTTTGTTGCAGAGTAAACGTTGACCTTCCTGCTGCGCTGTGTTCTATTGATATGTGAACGTGAGCTATTTTATTAAAATTCGGTAAAGATTTTTACACATCTGCGGTTAGGTGAGAAAAGTGTCTGTGGATTCCTAAGGAGAGCTCCAAGTGTGTGCTGCGTGCAGAATGACGGCCTGGAGCTGCTGCATCTCCTCCGGGAGATGCTGCCTGGGCTGTGAGGCCGTGGCAGTACAAGCCGTTAACCACAGCGCTTTGTGGAGAAGCACAGAAGCTTCTTCAGATGTGGCTGCAGAACTTTTACAAAGATGTATTCATTCAGAGAAAAGATTCTTTTTCAGAAGCTGGCAAAGAGCTTAAGTCTGACCTTTGTTGTTAAGCATGAATATGTAACTTCTAACTACGCTTCTGTCATGCTTTTAATCCTTCAGTTTTTCATTTTCAGTTTTTAACTTTTCTTACCACCTACAGTTTCTATAGGAAACCATGTTACTATACCGTACCTCTGTTTTGGATCACTGTAAAACAAACTTCTTGATTGACAAAGGGGGCATTCAGGTTTGTCACAGGTATTACGAGGCAATTGAAATTCTCACAGATGTTTCTCTTTCAGGCACATCATTGCTCAGAATGGAATTGCAGTTATAGATTGCTCGTGGGCTAAATTAGAAGAAACGCCCTTTAAGAAAATGAGAGGAGGTCATCTAAGGCTGCTGCCTTACTTGGTGGCTGCAAATCCTATCAACTACGGCCGGCCGTGCAAGCTGTCTTGTGTGGAAGCTTTTGCTGCAGCTTTTTGCATTGTTGGTAGGCTGCAATGTGTCTGATAGAAAATACGTTACCAGCAGTTCTGACATTTTTAACATAATGACGAGATGGTTTTTGACTGAATAAACTGTAATGCTGACCTGTTTGGTCCTGAATTTAGAATGAAGTTGTATAGTTCTCTTCCAGGTGCTTCTGTCTGGTAGCCATCAGTTATCACTAGGCTGGGGTTCATGTCCAGGACACAGGATCTGATGATCCAAGTTTTCTCAGCATGGCATGTAACCAAAAACCACCAGAGAAAAGATGGTGAATCCTTGTGCACCTCTGTCCTTGTGACAGGTAGCAGCTGGCTGTTGTGTTCTGTTATTGCTCTTCTGGTTAAGAGCAGTAAAAACAAACTGTCCCCTCAAGTTGTTTTCCAAACTCATCACAGAAGCTGCTTGACAATCAAACAGGCATCCTCCAGTGTACTGCTGGCAAACCTTACCTTCTGAAGATATGTGCAACTGCTCTTTCACTGGAGGACCGCAGGATCTACAGCCTGCATCATTAACTGTACGAAATATTTTCATGTCATACTGGAAGACTGCACTTTTCCTCAATTTGATTAGCTGTTCAAGTTAAGGTGAAATATTTTGAAGAAATTGGAATCCCTAAACAATAAAAAAAAAAAAAAGCTGGTGTACACCTCAGTGCTGTAGTGATAGGGAGAGAGGTGCTGAGCTTAGAAACCTGTGAGCTGGCTGATATCTCCTACTGAAGACCAGTGATCCTCTGTTTTCTGTTCAAGGATTTCCAGACCTAGCCACCATTCTTCTAAGGAAATTTAAATGGGGGAAGACATTTATTGAGCTGAACAAAAATCTCTTGGAAAAATATGCAGCTTGTCAGTGCCATGAAGAAGTGCTAGGTGTTGAAAAGGACTTTCTAGCTAGTGTCAAAGAAATAAAAGAAGAAGAAATAGGTAAGGAAGAATTCCCAACCACCACTCACCCTCTAACTAGTCTCCTTTTTTTCTTTAATCTCATGAAATATGATGAATGTAGAATAATTTAATAAGACAGTAACAATGAATTGTAAGTTGTTGGCTTCTGACCTCTTGTAACCAAATGAGTCATGAGTTAAGCTTTTCAGAAAGCTGAACCAGGTTTCATATGCCTTGCCTGCCAGTAATGTTCTCAAAAATAAATGAAGTCAGACCATCTAAATGTATCTCTTCCTTTTCCAGATCCATTTGATGTTGACTCAGGAAAGGAATTTTGTAACCCCAATAGGCCAATCAATTCTTCAAGGTAATGAAACTTAATTTTTTTTTCTTATTAGAAGTTTGTTGTGCTTTTATAATCCTGAAAAATATTTCCAGAATAACACAAAGTAATGAAGAATCAGAGGAGGACAGTGTGAGCACTTCAGATGATACCAGTGAGAGCAGCAGTGAGAACAGTCCAGAAGATGATGATCCTGGCAAGTTTTTTCAGGAACAGCCAATGATAGATCAACTACCTGAGAAGGGAAAAGAAAACCACACCAAAACCACGTCAACAGCCTGAAGGAGTTCTAGGCTGCCTTGTGCAAATAAACTTTCTTGTTAACAATGTAGCCCTTCCACCTGTAACTGTGGGGTGCTCAGCAAGTGTCTTGTTCATGAGACCTCCCATCTTAGGCTGCAGGTAGGTTTGTAGGTCTATTGATGCATGTACAGGTTTTTAAGATAGGCCTTCCATAAAGAATTATTTAAAGGTCCAAAGCTTCATTATGTAAATAAAAAACATTGTAGTTGATGTTTCTGGTGATTTATATAGGGATTATTTTCACTTGTACACTGCAGCAAACAATTCCTGAGTATATTTTACCTGGAAAACACGACTCTGTTATTGCCTACAACATACAGAGCCTCTGACTTGTGGAGGCTTGACCCTGCCCCATACATTTCAGCTCCACCCAGTTTAGGGTAAACGAAATGCCTCAGCTTAAAAAAAAACAAGAATTCTTTTAAAATCTCACTGTTTTCTCAGTGTTAGACCCGATTTGCTCAGGTACAGGCAGTCCAAAGCAATAGACACTGTTTTAACATTTCATGTTCATGATTTTACCACAAAATCTCAGCTGGTTCAACAGCATATCTGCCTGTATTTGCATTATTGAAGTGTTCCTCCACAAAGTCACAAACATACATCATCCCTTCAAGATTTGAGAAAGACTTCCCCATATGGTTGCCTTTTTCATAGCAAGAGAGGAGCTGTTACTGACTGTATTTTTCTTCCTTCACCTTTTAGCAGATACTCTCAAGTTTCACCCAGCTGCTCCCAACTGGTTTCAAATTTTAAACAAGCCTCCACCAACCCTTCAGCAGAATTGGATATAAAGGCAATCTGTAATGTTGCTTTGTACAGACAGGGCTCAGATCCTGTAGGTCCCCTCACCTTCTTTGGAGGGTTCCCATTTTTCTTTGTGTTAGACTGTACTTGTATTATTCCATATTCAAGTGGTCGTACCAGTGTGCAGGTGCCTTTGCATACAGTAAGCAGTTGATCTGCAGCTAGTCATACAATTCTATAAACTGCTTAAGGAACTGATCAAATATAGAACAGCTGCAAGTGGTCACCACTAGGGCTCAGAGACAGACCACCCTTATGGCAGGGACAGGGAAAATGAAGGAAGGCAGCAGCTGAGAAGCATAGCATCACAGCTCTTAAAAACTGACTTGTGTTCAGAGCTGCTTCAACAGCAGTCTTTGAGTAATTTTAATGAAGATGATGAAACAAAGCCCTTTATATAAACAGTTTATTTACTCTAAACAGCAACACAGACAATGCCATATAAACACAAAGGAAGTGATGCAGAATAAGGATGCTGGCTGACTTTGGATCTCAGAGGCTCTTAAGCAATAACAACCTAGTTTCTGAAAGATAGAAAAACAAATTCAGGGAGGGAAGGGGGTGGAGGGCATGATTTTTATTTTTCCATACAGCCAGCTAAAGGCTAAATATAGTTCTAACATTTTAAAGCATGCCTGCATCAGATAGCAAAGTAACTAGAGATACTAGTGAATTTATAGAAGTATAAAAGTTTATAATTTTACAGCAGTTGAAATACTGACATCAATATTAAAATAAAAGCAAGTTTTACATAACAATCAAAAATACAAAAGACTGAAGGAAGAGACCCTGTATGAAAAAACTGGGGGCAATTCAGCAAATTTAGAACTGTATACAAGTGGCGAATATGGAAAATGGCACACATACAACCCCCTCCCCTAAGTGGATATTAATTGTACATAGCAACATTAGATTTTGCAAAAGTTTTGTAAACAAGTTCTTGCCAAACCAATCCCTTCCTTTTTAAGATGCTGCATGACAGATGCTTATGATGGTGCAAACTTCTTGGCTTGTGCTCGAACCCTCTTTTCGTATTCCACTCTGTTTTGGCTGAATAGAAGAAAAAGAAAGGGCAATTAAAGCTTGAGAAAGCAGACCATGTTGTACAATTCTCTCTCCTATTTCTAGCTCTTAATTCTCCCAACTCAGTACCCAAACAAACGACTGCCTTTCATAGCAGACTGCACAACTACAGGAGAGGAGGAAGTAGCTCAGCACATCAGAAGTGCTGCAGTTACAGAAAAACTGTGCAAAGGCAATCCCAAAAATGAGAACAAGTCCAAGGATTCTT